CAGTTTTACATTTTTTAAAAACCATTTAAGGGTCAAAATAATTAGCCCCTTTAAGCTATATTTTTTTTCCGATAGTCAGCATAAAAATATATAGCATGCCAAATTACCCTAACCTGCCTTTAAATGTCACTTTAAGCTGTATAGAAGTTTCTTTAAAAATGTCTAGTCAAGTATTACTTACTGTCATCATGGCAAAGAGAAAATAAATCAGTTTTAGAGATGAGCAATTAAAACTATTATGTTTAAAAATGTGTTAAAAAAATAAACACGGGGGCCCGGAGGCATTAGGTATTTTTATAAGAAAGTCGATTTATAATCCGCTGCTAACTGATAAAGCATGTTACATGAGATACACTAGATGAACTCACTGTGATTTAACTATTACAGAAACAGATGTGACTGGCTATATCATATCTAGATAAAGATGTCTATATATATATATATATATATCTCATATCTAGAAAGCAAGTACAATTTACATTTTTCTGACTAATTCGCATGTATTTACATTAATGTGCAGCACATTTTATTGATTACCTACAGTTATGTTATTTCACCAAAACTACACACATTTCCTGCTGTAAAAACAAATATTAAGCTTCATCTGCAACTTAGCTAGAACTATTCAGTTTTGCGAAACAGTTGTATTTTTACCTCATCAGCTTCAGCTGCTCAAAATAATGAATGATGTGCAGTGACAGAATATTTTTAAACCATGTGACAACAGAGCCACTCCCACCTGCCGGTAGAAACAGGTACTGCTGAATAAATTACTTTTTAAATACCCGACACAAACGCTGCTTTAGGTAGAATACGCGTGATATACAGGTGTTAATTGTCAGAACTTTGATAACAAAATAAATGTTATACAACCTATTTTTATTTAAGTGCAACATATTCCAAAAGATCAGGGGCTTTTGACAATACATCAGGGGCTTAAGCCCCCAAAGCCCCCCCCTCGCAACGCCCCTGTCCCCCACACCATTACACCAACACCACCAACAGGCTGAACCATTGATACAAGGCAGAATGGATTCCTTTTTTATGTTGTTGACGCCAAATTCTGACCCTACCATCCGAATGTCACAGCAGAAATCAAGACTCATCAGACCAGGCATCGTTTTTACAGTCTTCTATTGTCCAATTTTGGTGAGCCTGTGTGAATTGTAGCCTCAGTTTCCTGTTCTTCCTGTGCTGACAGGAGTGGCACCTGGTGTGGTCTTCTGCTGCTGTAGCCCATCTGCCTCAAGGTTTGACGTGTTGTGGGTTCAGAGATGCTCTTCTGCATACCTTAGTTGTAACGAGTGGTTATTTGAGTTACTGTTGCCTATTTCTATCAGCTCGAACCAGTCTGGCCTGGATATTTTCTCTTTTTCGGATCATTCTCTGTAAACCCTATAGAAGGTTGTGCATGAAAGTCCTAGTAGATAAGTAATTTCTGAAATACTCAGACTAGCCCGTCTGGCACCAACAATCATGCCACGTTCAGTCACTTAAAGCACCTTTATTTCCCATTTTGGCACTCGGTTTGAACTGCAGCAGATTGTCTTGACCATGTCTACATGCCTAAATGCATTGAGTTGCTGCAATGTGATTGGCTGATAAGAAATCAGAAAGAGTTAGATCATAAGAAAGAGTTGTTGGACAGGTGTACCTAATAAAGTGGCCAGTGAGTGTTTATGGTTTCTTTCTAAAAAATAAAATCTGTTTTAGTGATTATAAAAAAAAATATCTTTAAAAAAAAAAAAGGACTTGAATTGATAGTTCGCCATTAAATGAAAGTGCTTACCAAAATTAGTTCTTAGATTCTTAAGAAGTTATTTTGAAGAAAGCTTCAAACCTGTAACCATTGCCTTTCATAGTATTTGTTTTTCATACTATGGAAGTCAATGGTTTCAGGTTTTCAACTTTCCTCAAAACAACTTCTTTTGCGTTTAACAGAAGAAAGAAACTCCTTAAGTTTGCAACCACTTCAGGGAGAGTAAACTATCTCTACATGGTGTTTTACATTAAATATATTAAAATAAGCTGTAAATCAACAAACTATATTACAAAAATTTTGCAGCTTTTTAGCAAGGAAGTGCTGCCTATCTGTCACTGTGGAAACAAAAAGAGTGTCTCTGTTTTTATCATCATAGTAGGATTTTAGTTTTTTATGATTTTTAGAATGTAAAATATTTCAATGCAACCATATAAAAGTAACTGATGCAATATATCAAACTTTAAACCAGTGGGGGAACTTCATGGTGTTCTGTGTGATTGCTAGGGTGTTGCAGATGGTTACTATGAAATATTGTTATGGCTTGTTATTCTTGTTTTCCTTTGTGTAAAGCCTTTTGACAATCTACAGCAGGGATGTCAAACTCAATTCTTGGAGGGCCGCAGTTCTGCACAGTTTATTTCCAACCCTAATTAAACACACCCGATCAAACTAATTGAGTCCTTCAGGCTTGTTTAAAACCAACAGGTAGGCATGTTGGAGCTGGGTTGGAACTAAACTGTGCATGGTTGCGGCCCTCCAGAAATTGAGTTTGACATCTCTGATCTACATAGTAAAAGTGCTATAGAAATAAGGATGACCTAAATTCTTTGTGGTTGCTAAGGTGTTACTAGACTGTTCAGTGTGGTTGCTAAGGTTTTGCAAGATGGTATTGAGTCAAAAACATTTATTAAAATAAAAATATCAAAATTTTGGTGAATTAATGCCTCAACGCATCAAAAACAGCATAATACAATAGACACACTGCAATCTGACCTGTGTTTTAGTTGAAATTCTGTTCATGAGTTTGTTAAAGTCACACTCCTGCAGTTGTTCTCAAGCACTGGTGCAGATGATGCATCACCTAATAAAGGTACACATTATATATTGTATATTAATATAAAGTTCATGTCATTACTGTATTTGATACCTATAAATAAACCTACTGGCACAGCTAAACAGAACAAGCAGAGATTTGTATGCTTTTCTCATTTTTTGCAGCATATGAAAAACGTAAAATGTAAAATTCTGAAAAGACAATAAAAGTAAAGTGTGCAGAACTGCTCCCTTCAAAAGAATGAAACCGAATGTCAAAGGAATGTGCACTGACACTCCACAGCCTGTTCTAGAAGGATGGAGATTGTTCTTTACAGCAGTTTTATCAGTTCCAAACACACACAGGAATTCCGGTCTGGGGAAAGACCATCCTGATTCCTCACTTCCACAGGAAGCTCCAATAAAACACAACCTCTTACGTGACAAAAAGCATTTCACTTCTCAGATGTGTGTGTGGACAGAGGTGAAGCTGCAATGAGCTTCTGGAGCTCAAACACTCCTCCGTGGACCACCTCAAATCTCATCTGCAAGAACCAGCAAAAATATGGAAAACATCCGTAATTTTCAGGTAAAATCGTTTTTTATTTATTTACTTTATTTTATTTTTCGATTTTAGGTCACTCTTTAAGTTACATTTGATTCTAATGAACTTCATATTTTTAGAGCAGCTTTAATTAAACAAGCTATTATCACCAATGTAACTAATGACAGTAATATTTCATATAAATATCTAGACCCTGCAATGTAAATTGCTGCAGTATTTTTTTTCAGTTCAAAGTCCATAGGGGTTGCTCTAAAGTATTATCTTGAAATATATGTGTTCTTACATACTGTGGTTTTAGTTTAGTTTTATCGGCATTACCACTAAATAGTTATTTGCATGATATTTAAATTTAAAACATTATTATGTACAGTACATGGGCAGTGGCGCAGTGGGTATCACAATCGCCTCACATCAAGAAGGTCGCTGGATCAAGCCCCGGCTTGGTCAGTTGGCATTTCTGTGTGGAGTTTGCATGTTCTCCCCGTGTTGGCTTGGGTTTTCCCTGAGTGCTTCGGTTTTCCTCACAGTCCAAAGACATGGGCTAAAGGTAAATTGAATAAGCTAAACTGGCCGTAGTGTATGTGTGTGAATTGAAGAGTAGTATGGGTGTTTCCCAGAGTTGGGTTGTGGCTGGAAGGGTACCCACTGCATTAAAACATATGCTGGACAAGTTAGCGGTTCATTCTGCTGTGGTGACCCCGGATTAATAAAGAGACTAAGCCAAAAATAAAATTAATGAATATTATGAACGTTTCGGCTGATTACACTACGTGGCGCCTTCTGTTGGCGAATTGCAATATTAATCAGGGTGTGACGATTTGTCCATATATTTTCGATCATAAAATGGTTTTAGTACATTTCTAATAATATTTTTGTGGCTTTTTTTGCCTGAAACTTTATCTTCAGCATTATTCTGAGCCGAATACCACTAGTAAAGAACAAAATCTTGCCGCATTAAATTTTTTCATTGAACTTTTCCAGTCATCTCAACTCTCAAATCGATCAAATTGATTAAAATATTAAGTAAAACTTTGCATAACTTAAAATTTATAGTTGAAACCTGATTAACTTAGTAAAATAACTGCATGGTGGTGCAGTGGGTAATCAACCTCACAACAATCGCCTCACAAGAAGGTAGCTGGTTCGGGCCACAACTGTGTCAGTTGGCATTTCATTTTCACAAGTCCAAAACATGTGGTATAGGTGAATTGGGTAAGCTATATTGTCCATAATATATGTGTGTGAATGATTGTGTATGGATGGTTTCCAGTAGAGGGTTGCAGCTGGAAGGGTATCCGCTGCACAAAACATGCTGGATAAGTTGGCAGTTCATTTGGCTGTGGCGACCCCAGAATAATAAAGGGACTAAGCCGAAAAGAAAATGAATTACTGAATGAATGTACCAATACTGCATTGTTTATTAAATTTATTGGTTACTGCAATTGTATATTGAATTTATTCTGCAGTTATGGATGGATTAACCTCTGAGAAGGGCCACCGATGAGGACTACTATAGTAAAAGCTGAATATTTTACTCCTTAAGGCTGCGAAAGGTACATTTTTACAACTTGCAAAAAGTCGATGTTGGAAAGCACATAATCGGTTAAACTGTTCAAATGCCATGCCTTGACGAGAAGAAAGGAGCCATTTTAACTGCTTCACAGTCCATTATTACTTTTGGTACGCGCTAGGCCAGACTCAAACTCGTACCGTGAGTAATAATGCACTGTGGCAGTGGGTTTATCTGCGTGGACAAACTCAAGACAGGTTTGGATGCAGATCAGTGTTATCGATGGATAAAATAACACTTTTTTTGGTATAAAAAGAACACAAGCACTTTGTTTTGGCACATGAGACGGCATTTGACAAATGGACCCACTGGCATCTGACTTGTTTAATTTTAGAGGTTAAAGGAAATAAATTTGATACAAATAAAATCTGGAGGAAATAAAGGGCATGTTACATTAAATATCACCTCTAGGGTTTTACTATTATTTAAAACTGTATGTATAAACACTGTTAAATGAAATGTTTAATGAAGTGTTGATGGTTGAATTTTTTGAGGGGTCTTAGGTTTAAGATATTTATGGATGTCTGCCAGTCTGTTGTTTACTTTGTGTTATCATTTATTTGCTTTTGTAATAAAAAAAAAAGTTATTGTGTGAAAAAAACTGTTGCAAGTAAACAAGAAAATGGTTGTGTAAATGATGTTTACTCTTTTATTTTTTTACACTAAATAAAACTGATTGATAATCAATGCCTTAGAGTATTTTCTTATGAAAATGTTTTAAACACTGTACACTTCACTACTTTATTGGAATAAGGTTCGTCTATTATGAAATGTAATTTTTTTTTCACAATGTTCATTAATTTTTTTTTATTCATTAGCAGAGGTGGAAAGAGTACTGAAAAATCATACTTGGGTAAAAGTACATTTACTTGCCCAAAAATGTAGTGTGAGTAGAGTAAAAGTATCTGTTGTAAATATTACTCAAAGTAGCAGTAAAAAGTAGCCCTTTCAAAAGCACTCAAGAGTAGTGAGTATTACGCTGTAAAAAGCTGATGCATTAACATCTAATTTGTGAATGTCTGTAAACGGAACATCCTGTTGTGCATTTAGCTATTGCCCAGCAGGCACACAACGTCATAAGATGTTATGTTAGATTTAGGTTGTGATGTCAGGTGACCAAAATTCAATGTCTAGTCTGCATCTAACGACAATGTTACTTTGATGACCATAACGATGTCAAATGACATTGATATTCTGTAGATGTTAGGTTATGTTGGAAAGTGACCAAAATCCAACGTCAAGCCAACATCTTAAACCAACGTCATATTGCCGTCAGATACTGACATCATACTGACGGCATAGTGGTAATGTTCACACAACGTCAAGCTGTAACTTTATTAGACGTTGATATGGACGTTGGACATTGATATCAACCCGAACTTCATTTCCAAACAAAACGCAACGACCCCCATAGTTAGTATACAACGTCAATTTGATGTCATGTTGACATCTTCTACCTGCTGAGTGTTTAAGGCCATTTCGGTCATCATATAGTAAACAATCGTCATCTTGTCATCAGTGACATACAAAAAAACTGTATCTGGGTTAATGCGTGTAAAGATTTTGGATCTTGTTGGACACTTTTAATGCTTCCAAACTGTTTGCTGCAATTATAAGGTGCCCATGTCTTGAGTAAGTTCATTATGATGTGATTTACCTTCTATTTGCGATTTGATTGGACAGGAATCACATGACTGATTTTTCTAATCGACAAAAAAAAATACAAAATAAAAATAAATAAAGTTGTGCCTGCAGGTTGAAGGAAATTAATGGAGATAAAGTATAGATACAGCACTAAAAATTTACTCAAAGGAAAGTAAACGTACATATTTTTAAACCTATGTAGTAAATACGATTCCTGAGAAAAACGACTCAATTACAGTCATTTGAGTTTTTGTAATTAGTTATTTTGCACCCCTGGTCATTAGAAATGTGAAATTTACTTATATAGCTTTAAGTAATTTTCTCTTTGGTTTTATGATTTATAGTTGTCTTTTGAGTAAAACATCATTTTGTTTTACTCTGCAAACTACTGATAACATCTCCTACAAATTTAATATAAAAACATCAATGTTAGAGCTTTTTTCTGCATAAAATAAAAAGGTGGCATGTTCTTGGTTATTTATATAAGGATTAAGACAAATACTAATGTTTTAACTACACAAGAGTTAGGAATATTTACTAATTATAATTACCACGAAATGTTATCGTCAATCACAACAAATAACAACATCTAAACGATTCTCATTGTAATGTTACTTTATTTGAATAATTGACATATCTAATAATACCACAGTAAATCCAAATATCTCTTACTTTTTTCTCCATAGAGTGTATTTATTTCTTTTTTAAAGCTAAATTTTTAATTATTACTTATGAGAAATTTTTTGAGAAAAGACAACACTTAACTTACCAGGGTCACATTACGTCACCTGGTTACAGTGTTTATAGCAACCACACGGATAATGCCTCAACACAAACATGAGCACAAACGAAATAAAGAACGATTATTCAGCGAAAGAAGAGACCGCAGGGCCTGGAGATTCTAATACATCTGAAATAAAGACAAGCGATGTGTACAAAGTTGACAAAAACTTACCGTCTCGCTTTAATAACCCGGATTGTTTCAGATACAGGTAAGAAGAGCCAGCCTTGATGTGTCCAAAGTGCGGAAGTTGAAGTCAATATACTTGACGTTTTTAGCACTTTAGTTGAATATTCTTCAAGAGTGAACTTTTAACACCTGCTTGCTTGGATGTTTTTAAATAGTTTATTAGTTGTTTGAGGCGTTAACGCAGTAATTAGCCATAGTTTGTTAAACAGGTTGCATCGCTTCCGGTTCAGGTCCTTTATGTGTGTATCTCGATTAAAGCGATAAATAGTTTTACTTATTTCTTCTCAGTTGCATTATGGAATAAAATTAAATAAGAACGGACAATAATACAACAAGCTATAAATAACAGGGATCCTTGAAAATTTTGAATTTCTTAGGATGTTTATTTTCCAAGTAACTTAAGAGTTTCAGTAAATATATATATATATATATATATATATATATATATATATATATATATATATATATATATATATATATATATATATATATATATATTTAGTCTATAAACAGGGTTCATACAAATTTTTACCACTAAAATTCTATAACTTTTCCACGATTTTTCCAAGACTTTCAGGTAAATTTTCATCACCTAATGTTTCATGCAATGTCTACATACATACAGTATGCGTAGTAAAAGAAAAACAATGCACGCAACAATCTATTCAGTTTGAATATATATTTATATCTATGTAAAATTTATTTAGAATATGCTTACACGCACTAATAATGTGAGAGTATGTGATTGGCCAAGGACAGAAAAGTAAAGACAATTAACCCAAAATAAATATCAATTTTCCAAAACTTTTCCAGGCCTGGAAAATGTCATGTCAAAGTTCCATGACTTTTCCAAGTTTTCCATGACCGTATAACCCTGTATTAATGTCTGATAACACATTTTTTGACGAAATTACACTTCAGACATGTATTCATTTGTTGTGGTTGAAAATCAGGATTATTCCATTAAATGTAGTTTTCTTCTGAAGGTATAATATTGTTTTTTATATAACACTTTACAAAATGATTCAATTAGTTCATGTTAATCATATTTACTTACATGAATTAAAAATGACCAATATAACAGTATTTGTTCACTTCTGTTGGCAAAAGAAAAAGTTGTTAATTAGTTCTTTACACAACTCTAGAGTTTAATAATGCATTAGTAAATTCTAAACTATGATTAATAAAAGCTGTACAAGACAAGTACACTACTTGACGAAAGTCTTGTCGCCTATCCAAGTTTTAGGAACAACAAATAATAACTTGACTTCTAGTTGATCATTTGGTATCAGAAGTGGCTTATATGAAACGCAAAATAAATAAATGATCGTGATTTTTAATTATTTAATTAGGACAGTAAGAATTGACTTTGCTTAGACAAAATTCTTGTCACTTAACAAAAATAATGTAGAGTACAGAATATAAAGTCATGGAAAAATAATTAAAATTGTGTATGACTCTCATGAGCTTGGAGGACTGCATCCATACATCTCTGCGAAGACTCAGGTAACTTATTGATAAAGTCATCTGGAATGGCAAAAACAGCGTTCTTGCAGGACTCCCAGAGTTCATCAAGATTCTTTGGATTTACCTTCAATGCCTCCTCCATCTTACCCCAGACATGCTCAGTAACGTTCATGTCTGGTGACTGGGCTGGCCAATCATGGAGCACCTTGACCTTCTTTGCTTTCAGGAACTTTGATATGGAGGCTGAAGTATGAGAAGGAGTATTTGCTCTCTCCTGTGGTTTGTATGGTTATGGTCAGGACAAATATCTTGATGCCTCAGGCTGTTGATGTTGCCTTGCACTCTGCAGATCTCTTGCATACCATGCAGGTTCTAATAGGTCTTCTGCAGCATTTGTGATGATTGGGATGCAGTTCAACAGATGATTCATCAGAAAAATCTACCTTCTGTCACTTTTCCAAATGAATATCTACTGTAGAAGTCAAGTTATTATTTGTTGCTCTTTCAACTGGGATCGACAAGTTTTTTTTTAGGTAATTTATTGTTCATTCTTAGTTCATGTTAAATGTAAAGTGTTGCCATATCAAGTTATTTAAACATAGAATATAATTGTTATTTTGACCAATTGTCAGTTTATACTCTAAATGAGTTTGAATTAAAGAACAACTCAGACTCATCGCTAAATGAGTTTGAAATCAAAACAAGCATTTTACTGAACTATAAATTGTAAACTTAACTATGAATTGTAAATCCAGAGAAACTGAGAATTTCTAAATGCTCTTCATTACTATAAAATACAATATATGTGTATTCTAATGATCTTCATTGTATATTTCAGTCACAAAACAACCAATCCACTGTACCGAACAACAAACCAAGCATATGGAAGCAAAAAACCAACAGTTCACGAAATGCCTGTGAGTAAGCGGCACACAATATAAATGAATAGGATAATACACACAAGAGTACTTACAAATCTGCTTCATTTTTCCAGACATCCTTTAACGGAAGTCGACACAGGTTTTCGGAGCATCTACTAAAAAGTGGCATGTACAGAGACAACGGCTTCAACACCATGCTGGACAAGAGTCGACTCTCCAGACCCAACGAAACGTCTGTGTTTTATGATAGAATCAATTTCCATTCCTTATATCACACGGCTGGAAAATCGTAGTAAAACAAGCTATGCTATTTCAAAGCTTGCATGGTTTGGATGGACATACTTGATTTTGAACAGCCCTCAAAGTGTTTTTTTATTCTTAAAAAAAAATAAAGGGATAGTTCACCCAAATTTTTTTAAAATTCTGTCATAATTTACTCTGTTTGTCTTCCTTTTATTCTGTTGAACACAAAAGATTTTTTGAAAAACGCTGAAAACTATTGACCTCCATACTATTTATTTCCCACTATAGGTGTCAATAGGTAATGTTTTTAGAATTTTTCAAAATATCTTCTTTTGCGATCGACAGAAGAACAAAACTCTCTCCACTTGAGGGTGAGTAAATATTATTTTTTTTAATGTACTATCCCTTTAGGTCAATGAACTGAGATGTTTAGTCCCGGTGATTTGGCATGTCATGAAAATGAGGGAACGCTATTAGTCAATTTAGAAAAATGACAGATTTCTCGTTGGATGAATAAAAACACAACTACGTCAAGAATGTCAATATAGTTTGTTTATTTATTTGGTGTAGTAGAGTGAAATTCCACAGTAGACCTGAACGCAAACGTCCAGGGAATATTCTCTCGTCGTGTGACCCTCACACACAGTGGAAGCCATCAAAATATAATCCACGAGTTTCAGAAGCACTTTTGAACCGATACATGGAGGTAAAGCGGACCGACGTACAATCGAGCGTGTTATAAACATAATGCGGTGGGGCTGAAATAAGACAAACCGTGACAACAGCAATTCCAATCACTCCAAGCAACCAGCATCCGCCTGATTCGCGAAGCGTCCCCTTTAGCGCCGCTGTGGCTTTGCTGAGGATTTGGCCGGATGGTGTTAAGGGTTTTTGGTGACGACTTTTCCCTGTTTTTCCTTGGAGCTGTAAGCAGCAAAATTAGTGTCCAGAGGGCTGGATTGTCAAGTCCTCCAACCTCCTGACCTTATTCGTAAAGTAAAAGGCACTTCAAAAACGTTGTAACAAAATCCAGTGTTATTGTCTTACATCATATACACACACACAGAAATGAGGGAATGCAAATATAGTAGAAACCTTAAAGAGAGTGACGTTTTAAAACCGTTTCGCTTATAAAAAGAAAGTAACAAAAAGCTGGTCTATAGCACACGACGGGTTTCGATGGAGCGAAGACAGACGGAGGGAGAAGAGAGACTCGTGGCGAGACGTTTCTGTTGCTTTGCAGAAACTGAAAAAATTGCATAGGCAAGAATCACACGTATGACAACAAAACTAACGCAAATATATATATATATATATATGTATGTATATATAAAAAAACAATAAGACTCCATCCATACGGACAGAAGTTGAACTTCTCTGAAGTGAAAAAGACGTGTGAGAAACTTAAAAAGCAAACTGGACCTCCAAGTCAGCAGCAGTGGTTTTGGTGCAGGGTGGAATGGTGAAGCTGTGCGGGAGCTGAAGCAGAAGCTCTACAGCTCAGTATCCTGATACTTCTGTGAGGAGCTGGAGGTGTAGTAGCCGCGTTTACTCTGTTCCGTCAGCTGTTGTCTGAACTCCTCTACGGGCTCCTCGCTCAGGCCCAGCGCGCGGCTCTCTGTGTAGGGCAGCTTACTAGGAGGCGTCTGCGGCTCTGGACGGGCACTGGAGCTGCACCCAAAAAAAAAAAAAAAGAGAGAAATGGAAATAGAATAACTCATCTAAAATAAATAATTGGCTGTTAATCCGAGATGTACAATAGATGACTTTTCTCTTCAGTAGAATATTACAGAATTAAACTTTGTAAAAACAATTCACAATATGCAAGTCAACAGCTAAAGGCCAATTTACACTGCACAGACAAACGGCAACAAACAAGTTGGTCGTTGTATTTAGAATTTTATGAAACAATGGAGTAGGGCAGCACAATATATTCAATTCAATTCAGTTCAGCTTTATTTGTATAGCGCTTTTACAATGTAGATTGTGTCAAAGCAGCTTCACATAAATGGTCATAGTAACTGGATCAGGGTAGTTCAGTTAGTGTTTAAGTTCAGTTCAGTTTAGCTCAGTTCAGTGTGGTTTGAAGTCATTATTGAGAGTCCAAACACTGAAGAGCGAATTCATCGATGAGTAGCTATATCATTTCAGCATCGATTTCACAATGTGATCGTTCGCAATAGTCACATCGCAGGATATGCAATGTTGAGTCTGCATTAGAATTAATCGTTCGTATGGGTTTTTTTAGGCCTTTGATTAGCATTCAGGGCTAAGAAATTGTGCTGTTTGTAACTAATAACTATTAATTTGATCAAATAATTAATAAAACAAGACCATGCAGTTTTATTTTACAATTGATTATTCAATTACAGTTGTTCTGAATACTGTTAGACTCCTCAGAAACAATAAACAACTTCCTTTATTGCACTTATCTGTGCTTGTATATTGTTGATTGTATTTTATGCAGATGAAATTTCAGGCTCTTACCCGATAGGTTGTGGCCTGCTGTGGTCCAGTTTCTGAGACTTCATGGGAACAGCGTATATGTCTGGATGTTTCTGAGCAATTTCCAACTAAAAGAAAACCATAACACCATTCATTTGTGATCAGACTGGCCATTTCAGAATTGCTTACATAAAAATTCTGAAACAGAAAGAGTCGATTACAACTATGATTTACTACACGTACACTACCTGATAAAAGTCTTGTCTTTAATATAAGTTTTAGGAACAACAAATAATAACTTGACTTCTATTTGATCATTTGGTATCAGAAGTGGCTTATATGAAAGGCAAAGATTACACTAAGAACTTGATTTTTAATGATTTAATTAGGACAGTAAGGTCTCACTTTGCTTAGACAAAAGTCTTGTCACTTAACAGAAATAATATACAGTATAGAATATAAAGTCATGGTGCAGTGGAAGAATTAATATTGTGCATGACTCCCATGAGCTTAAAGGACTGCATCCATACATCTCTGCAATGACTCAAAAACCTTATTAATGAAGTCATCTGGAATGGCAAAGACAGCGTTCTTGCAGGACTCCCAGAGTTCATCAAGATTCTTTAGATTCATCTTCAATGCCTCCATCTTAAACCAGACATGGTTCATGTCAAGTGACTGGGCTGGCCAATCATGGAGCAGCTTGACCTTATTTGCTTTCAGGAACTTTGATGTGGAGGCTGAAGTTTGAGAAGGACCGCTATCTCCTGTGGTTTGTAATGTAATGGTCAGCACAAATGTCTTGATACCTCAGGTTGTTGATGTTGCCATCCACTCTGCAGATCTCTCGCATACTGAATGTAACCCCAAATCATGATTTTTCCTTCACCAAACTTGACTGATTTCTGTGAGAATCTTGGGTCCAATGGGTCTTCTGCATTATTTGATGGGGATGCAGTTCAACAGATGATTCATCAAAAAAATCTACCTTCTGCCAGTTATCAGAAGTCAAGTTATTATTTGTTGCTCTTAAAACTGGGATTGATGACAAGACTTTTGTCAGGTAGTGTACAGTAGTTGGTACAGTATTTTTTGAAAAGTCTATTCTTTTTAAAAAACACAAATATTTTTGTTCTAAAGCAGTATCACAGACAATGTAAACGTACAAATGAGTAAAAATGCTCATTTTCAAATAAAACACGCTATAAAATCTTATTATTTAATTATTTAGCAGCATTCATTTGTGATCAGACTGATGAAAATGCATCTTGCTTTTGAATGTAAACAAAGCTATTTTGTCGTTCTGATATTCATGAAAGGCTGAAACTGACCCTGGCGTTCTGGGCTTCTTGTATCTCCAGAACCCTCTGTGAGCGGGCGAAGTGATCCATCTGCTCGAAGGCCTTGACTTTGCCCAGGAAAGACCTCTTTGAGGGGTCTTCAGGACTGTCGGCCGGAGGCTCACTGTTGATGAGGCCTCTGGAGCTGCGGGACGCGAGGGCAGGCTTCAGGGGTGTTGGTGGAGGTGCTGGTTTGGCTTTTGCTGGAGAGTCCAGGCTGCGCTGATGTTCGCTGCTCGCGGGACTGCTTGAACGAGAGTCGTAGTTTCGAGAGGGGTCGTAATGGCCGCGAGACACCTCCACTTGAGACAGCATTTTTACCTGAAACACGGTGAAGCGTTAGAAAACAGCACTGAATGAATGAAAACCAAGACTGCACTGTATCATTGAAAAGTCAGACGTATTTTTTTTTTTTTTGCTTTTTCTGCTCAGAATATTTTAAAAAAAAATCTGCAGACGTATGCGGGATGATTTTGAGAGTATAGTAACTAAACTTAGCACATGAAAAAACAAAAAAAATTACTTTTAATTTGTATTTAATTAAGGTTTACAAAGCAAATCCAATTAGATGGTAAACAAAGCGAGTCTCATCGGTGCCAGTAGCCTAGTGGTACTGCGCGCTGACATATAGCACCAACGTGCTCACGGCGACCCGAGTTCAATTCCTGAATGAGGTCCTTTGCCAATCCTTCACCTCTCTCTGCTCCCAATGCTTTCCTGTCATAATATATATGAAAATCCATCTAAAAATATTAATAAAAAAACAAACAAACAAAAAAACAAAGCGAGTCTCTCATATAATAAGACAGATAATATTATTTTACAAACTGTATTGCAAATAAATCATACAAACATTTGCATATTATACGATATTACTGAATTTAATATAAAAACTCAATATATATATATATACACACACGCACATTAATAAATGAATGAACAAAATAGACTTCTGTGTGGGCATAATTATTAACGATAAATTCTTAAAGGGTCTGTAAAATTTAAGTTTTTTTAGACGTTATTAAAAGTATTATGAGTTTTAAGGATATCAATGATCAATTAAATCAATGACAAACTTCATGTATAGAAGATATAAAACGGATATAAACATTCAAAGCTTGTAGTTTGTCACCTCCGCCTAATTTTACGTCACCTCATACTTCAGTTTCTCATCAAATCTTGACCAATCAAATACTCTCAAGTGTCTGACATGCCCCGCCCCCTTCAAAATACTTCTCAATTGCTTTTGATTTGATGCATTCGAACTTAACCACTCTCACTCGCATAGCTGTGATAAAACCAAAAGCTATTAGTAGTTTTTTTTAAATGGGAGGAGCTACTAAATGCCTCGCCCTCTCTTCATGTTTCAGATGAGATTATAAATTAAAAAATGCACATTTCAAAGCACTTCACGGGACCTTTTAACAACACATAAAAGCCATAAGCTTTTAGATACCAAACACCATTTCAACTAAAAAAACACTATCTAGTAGTAACATCTCAAACACAAACCAAAGCGTCGCTACCTAATGTACAAGTAAAATCTCAAACACTAACTAATTGTACAGTTTTTACTAATAAACTCTGCCAAAATGCTAAATACGGGTGACTCTTAATGGTCAGGTTTAACTTGTTAACATGAGTTAATGGAAGCTGTTATTAGACAGGTTTCCATTTAAAGATGTGATTAAGACGAAAACTGGAGTATTACTTAAAACATCTGGGAATAAAAGCACAATTTCTATCCATAAACTGATGTCAAATATCAAAAGGAAAAATTTAAGTTGCTGCGGTAGGAGATACATTTTTAATACATTTTTTTGTCATCACATGATCTGTTAAAACATTATCACATGATTTTTTTGTTGCGCATGCTGGAATTCATTCAGTAAATGTGTTTCCAGCACACATTTTCTTTCCTTATCGGATAGAAAGTTCATCCAACTCTGTTGTGCGCATGTTTTTTGTATGGACATTTTCTAATTTTCTGCACATATTGGCATTCAATTAAGCATTTTTTTGTGCCATTCCAACATGCGCATAATTTAGGTAAAAAAAAAAAATAATTAAAAAAAAAGAATAATAATATATATATTTGTATTATGATGATTATTCAGTTCTATTTGGTTTTTGATTCTGATTGGCTGATAGCAGTGAGATATTTAAGTAATATCAGCGCTCAGACAGCCTCTTCACCCTTGTCTATTACTCCGCCCACACGAGTGGCAAGCAGAGGACTACAGCTTGACAAATATTGCAGCTGTTGGGCAACATAATGTACTTTTGAGGCTTTTTTAGGCAAGAATGTAGTTGTTTAGATTGCAACTATGCAGTTTATTTATAAGGATAGTGTCTATTTTAAATATTTTTTTTATTTTGGAGATTCAGCGCGTTGGTGCCCAGCCTGCCACACTGAGTGGAGCAAAGACGGTTGACGTACCGTCCTACAAGATGGCCACAGAGACCACATAATAAGTCCTTAGGGAAGAAAAACAGCGCTTTCTCAGCATACGTTTTAAACTACAGCTTATCAGCTAAGTCAATCGCTCTCTTTTGCATGTTGTAGTGCTTTATTTATACCATAGTAATCTGATAGTGTTTGCCTTGCTTTGGCTTTTTTGAAGTTATTTGTTTTGAAATCCCGATTGTAACAGAAATTCTGGGAAATCTCTGTAGACTGATGGCATTTCATGTCGTTCAGCCTTATAATCTTAAAATGTGAGCAAAGTCATTTTAGACATTATGCTAAATAATCTTTCAAACACTAGCTCTAAAGTGACGTTTGTGAAGTAGCAGCGGTTCCTGCTGATCTGACGTCAGCTGCAGATATGAATGAACGGTGGAAGAAAGTAGTTCCTCTTACAAAAGGATTTTTGAGACTTCCCGTGTTTGATTTTCTTTTTATACACAAGATTATGCCGTCAAACTGTTGTTTAAGCACAATATCATACGAGAAGCAGTGCAATATGGCTGTAAATCGTCAGTGGTGGGCCATTAAAGCACTCGCCCTGCGTCCTTAAGTCAACACATGCCAATCAGTGCTGATATACAATCATATTGCACTACTACTCGTGTGATACTGCTCATGTATATATATATATATATATATATATATATATATATATATATATATAACAATAATGATAATTAATGACACTAAGTGTTGTGAAATGGATATTTTTTTTCACATTTTATGATAAATCAGTAATTGATATATTATAAGAAATATGAGCTAATTACTAAATTTGAAATATATGTAGTATAATAAAAATGCTAATTTACACTAACCTAAAAAACCTAATGAAACCTTGGGTTGAAGCTTAGATTAAATAGTGATTACCAAAACTACTTCACCATCAGTTAACATGTAGTTGTCTTTTTAACATCAAGGTCAAAGTATTTCCTCATCTGGCAGCATTTATTCCGAGTGAACTACTGTACATGCTGGAAAACATTTTCAAGTAAACGCTAATGTCTACCCACTCATTTGGCACAACAGTGATCACGGCTCTACTGTAAATCCTACCACAGTGTGCCATTGAGCTGCTGCGGGACGAATCTGAACTGCTGGAAAATTGCCTGCACCAAATCAGGCCGTTCCTCTGTGTGAGCCATGGTGACGTCAGGAGAGAGTTCAGTTAGACAAACACACCTTACACATATTCCACACACTAAAGGACAGACACTGCAGGATAAACCCTGTTTTAAGCTCCTGTGAAGTTTTTTTCATCCTTATATAAAGAAAATGCACTTTTAAGTGTTTCTTTTGTTGCACTTCATCAGTTTGTGTCTGTAGATTGTAATTACAATACATATTTTTAAAGACCAAACAACTGTAAAGACAACTTTATTTACTTGTCTTTAAAAACTTTGTGTTTAATTTTCAAAACTTTAAATGTCTTTGAACTTTTTCTGTCTATGGATGATGAGAGAGATCTGTCTGTTTGCAGTATTTTCTGAATTGTAGACCAAATTCCTTTCATCCAATGTTCAGACTTTTCGAGCTAAAGATTGTCAATAAATAATGCTTCATTTGCATATAACATTGTTAAATATGCAAGATAAGTCTCTGATAAATCTATTCACCTGCAGTGTCGAGCCCTAAAATCAGACCGTGCCAATGCATTCCATAATAAATGACTGCAGCATTGACATTCATCAGTGTAAAGTATGTGTGTATATGTTCACTTTCTGCATCAGTCTTGTGTTGCTGACACTGGTCTAGTGTAATCGTCAGTAGCTGGTGGACGTGTTTTCACCTTGGCAGGGTCGGGCAGGAATGTGGACATTACAGGAGGACTGCAGTCGCTCGTCTTCTCTCTGCTGTTCTTCCTGCGTGTTCGACCTCGAATCTCTGGACTTGACTTCCTGAGGATCTGCAGGAGGAATATATCATTCAGGTAAACACACAAGGACACAATGCTTTTTTTTTTTTTACAACTGCCGTCCGTCCTTCCGTCCATCTATCTGTCCGTCCATCTATCTGTCCGTCCGTCCGTCCGTCCGTCCGTCCGTCCGTCCGTCCGTCCGTCCGTCCGTCCGTCCGTCCGTCCGTCCGTCCGTCCGTCCGTCTATCTATCTATCTATCTATCTATCTATCTATCTATCTATCTATCTATCTATCTATCTATCCGTCTATCTATCCGTCTATCTATCTATCTATCTATCTATCTATCTATCTATCTATCTATCTATCTATCTATCTATCTATCTATCTATCCGTCTATCTATCTATCTATCTATCTATCTATCTATCTATCTATCTATCTATCTATCTATCTATCTATCTATCTATCTATCTATCTATCTATCTATCTATCTGTCTGTCTGTCTATCTGTCTATCTATCTATCCGTCTATCTATCTATCCGTCTATCTATCTATCCGTCTATCTATCTATCCGTCTATCTATCTATCTATCTATCTATCTATCTATCTATCTATCTATCTATCTATCTATCTATCTATCTATCTATCTATCTATCTATCTATCTATCTATCTATCACGATAATAATTTTTGATGGTACAGATAATCTGATGTTAATGGCTTCAGTAATATTTATCAATCATTAATGTTGCAGTTCCAGCATCGCACAGCAGGGGGCAGAAGCCGTTGTTTTTTGATTTACAGATGCACTGAAATGTAATTATGGAAAGCATGGGATATATATATGCTATTCCATGTAAACTCTTCGCTGTGCACTTATTGCATTTGCAGCATGTACATATGATAATGCATTTCCCTGCTGATTTGACCTCTGCCGTCTTTCCGGGAACACACAGATGTGTTTGTGCTGACCTCAGCAACTGTGGGAGAGGCGATGCTGCAAACATGCTATAGTGCGAAAATGTCAATGCTTGTTCGTGCCCTTTACTCTCAAACATGTGTCTGCATGTACTGTATACACCATTTAAAGGGTTAGTTCTCAAAATTCTTTTATTTATTACTCACTGTCATGCTGATTCAGTTCACTTTGTTCATGTTTGGAACAAATTAGGATATTTTAGATAAATAATTAATAATGATATTTTTGGGTGAACTAACCCTTTAAACCAAATATAAAAGGTCATTGTGATTTTTCAGAACTTATTTTTCCCAACCAATTGTGAGTTAGCATCTTGGCATTCTGATCAAATTTCCAAGAAAACAAGAATTGTAAAATAAATATGAAATTCATATCTCGCAATTATTACTTTTCCCAACCAAATGCAAAAGTCAGGAAAGAATGTCAAATTATGCTAACTTTTTAGCATTTTTACTACAAACAGCAAAAAAATAAATATATAAATATACACCCAACTGCCCTTTTTTTCTCTTATTTATCTTGCAATCGTGAGTTTACACTTTTTTGTTTTAATTTGTACTTAAAATTATAAGTTTATCTAAAATTTTAATTTCGGAGTTTTCAATTCTGATGTTTTTTTTCCATCAAATCAAATCCCTTAAAAAAAGAAAAATGGCAAAATGGCAAAAAAGTTGATAAATTCAGTGCTAGTTTCTCCTAATTCTGAATTTTCAGACTTTTTTTTAAATTCAGAATTACAAGAAAAATAACTATTATTAGAAATAAAGGTGCAACATTTACATTTAATGCCAGATTTTAAGAATGCCGAAACTCTGACTGCTTTCCTCAGATTTTCATTTATGTCCTACAATTAAGTTAATTAAATTAATCAAAGAGTTAATAAACTCTATACTACTACTACTAATAATAAAATCACTCACACTTAATACTTTTTTTGTTTTATCCAAACGGCATGCATTTTTTCAAATCAAAAAATATGGCAGAAAAACCTTGCCAAAATAGTGCTATGCTTAGTGTGTTAACATGACCTGTGGCCAAAGCTCTTTTGAGTTCACTGTGTTTTGTTTCTCCAAATTAGTTGTTATCTTTTTAATCTCTAAAGTACAGTAATAAGTTCAACATATATCCGTAATAAGGCTACTTTTAGATCATTTTTCTGCAATAAGTCAGACATACCAGATCAAACTAAATGAGTGCTTTAGGCTTGTTTGAAACCTATAGATAGGTGTGTTGAAGCAGGGCTAGAACTAAACTCTGCAGGGCTGTGGCCCTCTAGGAATGCCACAGCCATATCACCCTGCAGCCCAAGACCGGTTACTCACTGAAGCTAAGCAGGTCTGAGCCTGATCAGTACCTGGATGGGAGACCACTAGGGAACACTAGGTTGCTGTTGGAAGTGGTGTTAGTGAGGCCAGCAGGGGGCGCTCAACTTGTGGTCTGTGTGAGTCAGTGAAGGGGACACTACACTGTCAGTGGGCGACGTCTTTCGGATGAGACATTAAACCGAGGTCCTGACTCTCTGTGGTCATTAAAAATCCCATGGCACTACTCGTGAAAGAGCAGGGGTGTAACCCCGGTGTTCTGGCCAAAGTCCCTCTATCAGGCCTTACGATCATGGCCTCCCATTTATCCCCTTCCACTGAATTGGGTCTATCACTGTTTCTACACTCCACCAATAGCTGGTGTGTGGTGAGCGCACTGGCACCGTTGTCCTGTGGCTGCCGTCGCATCATCCAAGTGGATGCTACACACTGGTGGTGGTGTGGAGAGACCCACCATGATTGTGAAGCGATTTGGGTGTATGGCCATATACAATAAATGCGCTATATAAATACACATTACATTGCATTAAATTACAATTTAGTTTGACACTCCTGGCTTAAAGCAATTTGTTAATTGTAATAAGCTGTAATGAAACCTCACTGTACAATTTTTTTAAAAACATATCACTGATTGTAAACAGTTTAACAGAAATGACTTCCATAATTCAAGCATTATGGGGTATAGGAAAAAAGATGTTTAAAGGTCCCGTGAAGTGCTTTGAAATGTGTATTTTATATTCAATGCTTAACAATCTCAACCAAAACATGAAGAGAGGGTGGGACATAGTGTAGCTCCTCCCCTTTAAAAAAAAACAGCCAATAGCATTTTGTTTTAAAAGCTCTGCCAGTGAGAGTGCTTGAGCTCAAGCGCATTAAATAAAAAGCAAATGATAAGCGTCTTAAAAGGGGGCGGAGCACATACTAAGAGCATTTGATTGGTCAAGATTTGACAAGAAACTGAAGTATGACATCACAAAAATCTATCACCCATTTAGGCAGAAGTGACAAACTGCAAGCTTGAGATGTTTATATCTCCTAAATGCAAATTTTGTCACTATTTTGGAGCTCACTAGCTTATAGATATCCTTAAGACAAACATACTGATGCTAACATCTAAGTAAACATCATTTTGATTTCACGGGACCTTTAAGCTCAGCAAGTGTTTCTGTGTACTCTGACCTCCTCTGGCATGACGGGCTCAGAGGAGCGGCTGATGGCGGACACTCGCTGCCGGTCCAGCGGCTCGTCGGTCTCGTTATCAGTGTACGTGCCGCCCTCGTCTGCCGTGTCGTCGTAATCGCTGGTCATCCGGCTGTCCATGCTGAGATAGTCAGCGCTCATGGCCGACAGATATGACATGCGGTCATCATGAACGTCCAGATCGCCCTCCGTCCCGTCCAGCTAAAAGAGACACATGATGGATCTTGTGTACATAGAGGAGCGAAGAACAAAAAGAAAAACACAAAAACAAAACAGAACGGAAGCTGTAGAGCAAGAATGATGAACAGTAAAAGCACAGAAAAAACATGAGGAACGACTACTGGGAGTTTAAAGAAGAGGAGGACGTGCATTAGCAGGTAAACTAGAGGTTTAACTAGGAGGAAAACGCTGAGTATCGGGAGAAATGTGAATGGAGAAGTTTTAAAGTAAAGAGATGTTGTAAAATGTGGCATTAAAGTCAACATGAATCTTGATCTTTATTTTGACACATTGTGCACATTTAGAAAACTTTTTTTATAGTTTTGTTTATAATTAAAATGCCTGTTTCCAGGTCGCACCGCCTTAATTAAACATGCTGCAGGTGTACACTGTGATTGGTGCTCGGCGAACGCAGCATCTTTTGAAAACGAAACCAATGGAGTCAGATCATTTGGGAGAGATAAAGAGCTTTTCCAAGCTTTTTTTTTCAATAGCCTGTTGTCGTGTTTTCTAGTTGTCTTAAATTGTCGAATTTAAGGTGCTCTCTCCCTTGCTTGTTGTGATTATTGTAATACCCATTTTGTATTAAGAAGCAGTAAACTGAGCAATTTTTACGTTGAAGTTGTTTTTCGGCTCTGTTAAGGAGTAAGAAGAACCTGAAGGTCATTAAATTTATAACATGCTAACTGTATATGTATTTATATTCTTTAACTTATGTTTCAACCCCAGCCCTAGACATTCATGGTTGTACATAAATCGGGGGCTCGTCCGGGATATGAAATGCATAAGCCAATTTCTAAATTAAAAGTAGGATTTAATTTAGATTATATGAGAATAATTTAGAAAAATTAAATATTATACCTTTTGAATAATTTAAATGAATATAAAAATACACACACATACATACAGATGAAGTCAGAATTGTTAGCCCTCCCTTTGCATTTATTTTACTTTTTTAAATATTTCCCAAATCATGTTTAACAGAGCAAGGAAATTTTCACAGTATGTCTGATATTTTTTTTTCTTCTGGAGAAAGTCTTATTTGTTTTATTTCGGCTAGAATAAAGCAGCTTAAAAAAAATTTAAAAGCCATTATAAGGTTAAAATTATTAGCCCCTTTAAGTTTTTTTTTTCTCGATAGTCTACAAAACAAACTATAGTTCTACAATAACTTGCCTAATTACCCTAACCTGCTTAGCTAACCTAATTAACCTAGTTAAGACTTTAAAAGTCACTTTAAGCTGTATACTAGTTTCACAAAAAATTTCTAGTCAAATATTATTTACTATCATCATGGCAAAGATAAAATAAATCAGTTATTAGAGATGAGTTATTAAAACTATTATGTTTAGAAATGTGTTGAAAAAATCTTCTTTCCGTTAAACAGAAATTGGGGAAAAAATAAACAGGGGGGCTAATAATTCTGACTTCAACTGTATTTAAACAAAATAGAGCTATTAATAAGATCCTTTTATTATATATATTAAATGTATTTTATTTACTACATTATAAAAAAACATGTGAAATTATTTTATATAATAATTCATTTAATTTAATAAAAATATAAAATTATTAAAACAAAATTCATTAAAATCATAACTTGCTAACTGTATATGTATTTATATTCTTTAAACTTATGTTTCAACTCTAGCCTTAGACAGCCTTAGGTCTTTAAATAAACTGGGGGCTCGTCTGTGATACGAAACGCTCTAGCCACTTTCTAAATTATAATTAGGATATAATTTAGATCATATAAGGATATATTTTTTAAAATATTTTACTTTTTAATAATTTAAATGAATATAAAAATACACACACATACATACATACATACATAAACACAAAATAGAGCTATTTATAAGCTCCTTTTATTATATATGTTGAATGTACTTTATTTACTACATCATAAAAATACACGTGCAATTATTTTATATTATAATTCATTTAATTCTATGAGATTATAGAAGTATAAAAACAAAATGTATGCATTAAAATCATAACTTGCCAACAGTATATTTTTATTTATATTCTTTATCATGTGTTTCAACCCCAGCCCTAGACATTTGGGGTCGTAGCATAAATTGGGGGCTCGTCTGGGATACAAAACATTCCAGCCATTTTCTAAATTATAATTAGGATATAATTTAGATTATATAAGGATATATATTTTTAAAAATATTATACTTTTTGAATAATTTAAATGAATATAAATGTACACACACTTACATACATTAACACAAAGAGCTAGTAATAAGCTCCTTTTGTTATATATTTTAAATGGATTTTATTCACTACCTCATAAAAATACACATAAAAATATTTTATATTATAACAAAATATAACTTTATACAATTATTAAAGCATAAATACAATATTTATGGATTACATACACAATACATTTAAATATTAACTTTTATTATGGAAAAAACTGAAAATTCAGTGCATCATTTTTATACCTGCTCTTCCATGTTAAAATCATTTGCATGCACATCAATGAAGGTGAAAGAATAATGAAGTCTGATTTGACATCATTGTCGCTTAAAAACTACATATGAATTCCTTATAAACAAATTAAAAGAACAATTTTTCATATTTAATGTTAAATTTAGTGTCTTGTCTTGCTTTTATTCTGGATTTGATTCAGACAGCTTATGTGCAGTAGGCTGTGAACAGTGTTTCATGTTGACTTTAAGGGGAGGTGTTGTTTGAGAGTGAACAGAAGGTTCTGGAGATCTGTGTCTTTACCTTCCCTTCTGAGACCCACACAGCGAGGCTCTGCTGCTCTCTGATGGCCTCCTTCAGACTGCCATACCAGGCATCATTAGCCGAGTTCAGATCGATAACAGCTGACAGGCCGACGGGGGACCACAGAGAGAAAATCAAAACATTTCCATTTAGGTCAACCCTTCTCTACACTCAGCCTGATCTATTTCTCTCACTGGGTTTCCATCAGCGGCTTTAATCATCTAAAGATTTACGAACCGGGAATCAGTGTCACCGCAAATTCAGTGATATCTGACAATCACAAGATTTGACTTATTTGTTTCTTAATACTCCACTTCTTCTGAATTCACTGTTATTAAATATTGGGAGTAAACAGAATTCAAATATGATCTGTCTGAAACTGTGCATGCTTGTTTGTGCAATTGTGTAATTTAAATGTAAATTAATGTTAATTTTCCTTCGGCTTTGTCCCTTTATTAATCTGGGGTCACCACAGCTCAATGAACCGCCAACTTAGTTTATCCAATTTACCTACAGTTGAAACTGGAAGTTTACATACAGTCTAACAAAGGGAACATAACCATTTTTTTTTTAAATGTCTGATGGTAAATCATACTAATCATTTACTATTTTAGGTCCGTTAGGATTACCTAAATGATTTACATTTACTAAATGCCAAAATAATGAGATAATTTATTTTTAAATATTTTTTTAATTATTCATTTCTAAACAGTCAAAAGTTTACATACATTTCCTTGGTATTTTTTTTAGCTTTGCTTTTAAACTGTTTAACTTTGGTCAAATGTTTTGGATATCCTTCCACAAGCTTCTCACACAAGTTTAAAGGAATTCTGGCCCATTCCTTCAGACAGAATTGGTGTAACTGAGTCAGATTTGTTGGCTGTCTTGCTCGCACAAGCTTTTTCAACTCTACCCACAATTTTTTTATAGGATTGAGATCAGGGCTTTGTGATGGCCACTACAAAACATTCATTCTGTTGTCCTTAAAGCACATTTTAAACAATTTGGCATTATGCATAGGGCCATGGTCTGTTTAGAAGACCCATTTGTGGCCAAGTGTTAATTTCCTGGCTGATGTCATAAGATGTTGCTTCAGTATTTCTACATAATGTTCTTTCTTCATGATGCCATCTATGCTGTGAAATAAACCAGTCCCTCCTGCAGCAAAACAGCCTCACAACATGATGCTGCCGCCCCCATACTTCACAGTTGGGATGGTGTTCATAGGCTTGTAAGCTTTCCCCTTTGTCCTCCAAATGTAACACTGGTCATAATGGCCAAACAGTTTAATCTTAGTTCCATCAGACCACAGGACATGTCTCCAAAAATATTCTTTTTCCCAGTGTAATTTAGCAAATTGTAATCTGCTTTTTTGTTGATTTTGGCTTGTTGATTTTCCCATGTTGTCACACAAGGATGCCGCGTGTTTGAGGTTTTCCTTAAATACTATTCTACAGCTGTGCCTCCAATTAACTCAAATGTTGTCAATTAGCCAATCAGAAACGTCCAAAACCTTGACACCATCATCTGAGCTTTTTCAGAGGCATAATAATCTTATTGTATGTAAAGTTGACTTTCAAGAAAAGTTATAACAATTTCTCAAAAAAATTCTCTCATTATTCTGCTATTGAGCATGACCGAAACAAATTTAAGAATCCTAACTTACATAAAAGAGTAAAGTTTAGTCACATTAACATCTGACTATTTTTTAAATGGTTATGTGTCTTTTTATACAGTGTGTTTAAACTTCTGGTTTCACCTGTATAGCGCAAGTCTTTGGACTGTGGGGGAAACCGGAGCACCTACATGCAAACTCGTGGCCCAGCCGGGACTCAAACCAGCGACCTTTTTGCTGTGAGGCAACAGTGCTAACCACTGAGCCACCGTGCCACCTAAATCAAGCCAAATTACATTATACTTATTGTTTTACAGACGTGCAAACTGACATTATCATAAAGTATGTCACTCACTTTGACAATAAACATTGTGACAACAAACAATGTGTCATGTATGTCATGAGCTTTTTTTTATTTATAAGGCATGACAGATGCAAGAGTATCCGTTTTATCAATTATTATTATTGAGTTTTACCTTTGAAACCCAATATTGTCTGCATGAGCAGAAGATTTATGCATTTCAGAGCAACACTGCAACATTTGATTCCTGAATGAATCTACTTTTGAACTAATCATTTAAGTCAATAGCCCCTTCCACACTTACCTGTACCGACTTTTCCGTAAATTTACTGGCAAAAGGATAATGTGTGAAGAGGCCCTTTTTTGAAAACATATTCATTCCAGCAATTTTCTGGAAAGAGATGTTGTAACATTATTTGTAATTTGCAGGAATGCTGTGCTGTTGCCGGAAAGAGCGAGTTCACGATTAGAACACGCTGACGTGAGACGTCTACTCCAGCCGATCAGAACATTTAGACGCATTCACATCTGCACGGTTTATGAAAATAAAAGCTGTTGAATATTTTTACAGAACATCCTTGCCTGTGTAAATAGCGCTGTTTTGAATTTACCTGTAAAGTCTTTCCGGAAATTTTCCAGATATTTACAAGTATCACTGTGCGAAAGGGTCTATTGATTCAATGATCCATTCATAAAAGTCAACTGGTTCATTTTGAAATGAATCTGTCATTTTGAACAAATCATTTAAATGAATGATTCAGTGAGTCGCTCATTAAGAGCAACTTACTGGTTGTTAAACTAGCAAAAACACATTCATCAATATAAAATTTTTGTAAATCCAAACATATCAATATATACATTTTTGTGAATATTACAACCTCCTGTGTTGTTCCAAAAAGGAGTCTGTGATACTGACAAATATTGACAGATTTTTCAGTGAGGTGTCTGGACCCCTGGGACTGACCGGTAAACAGGTGCGAGCAGGTTTTCCTGAGCTTCAGAGCCTGGTCGTAGAGTTTGCGGGCACTGCGGTTTGAGCTGGGGATGACTCTCTGCCTCATGGCCTTCACCCCGTGTTTGCTGTCAGGGTTGAAGAAGATCACTATTGGGTACCACTGCGTGTAGTTCAGGGTGTCCACAGCTTTAGGGGTGACGTCCAGCAGAGCGTGCTTGTCCTACAGAAGTCAAATTCATGCATTTAGCAGTTTTTTTTTATTTAAAGCAACTTACAAGAGCATTACGTAACACGTTGAGTGGAATGATTGTTCAATTGTGTTTGTTTACATACACAATTACCTGTTCGATGATCTGTCGAATAGTGTTGAGACGAACCACCCCGGAAGATTTTTCTGAACCTGCATCTTTGGGTTCTGTTTCTGATGTGAGATTTGGCAAAATTAACAAATTTAAACAAATAATTGAAAATTAATATATATCCAAAACAGTTGAAGCTGTGAAAATTATTCGTCCTCCTGTGATTTTTTTTCTTTTCTTTATTTTTATTTTTTTTTATATTTCCCAAATGATGTTTAACAGAGCAAGGAATTTTTCACAGTATGTCTGATAATATTTTTTCTTCTGGAAAAAGTCTTATTTGTTTTATTTCAGCTAGAATAAAATCAGCTTTAATTTTTTAAAGGTCAATATTAATAGCCTCCTTAAGCAATATATATTTTTATTTTTTATTTTTATATTTGTAATTAACCTAGTTAAGCCTTTAAATTGCACTTTAAGCTGAATACTATTATCTTGAAAAATGTGTAGTAAAATATTATGTACTGTCATCATGGCAAAGATAAAATAAATCAGTTATTACAAATAAGTTAATAAAACTATTATGTTTAGAAATGTGTTGAAAAAAATCTGCTCTCTGTTAAACAGAATTTGAGGAAATAATTATTCAGGAGGGCTAATAACTCTGACCTCAACTGTATATTTTTTATTTGGCATGAGCTAAAATGCTAGCCTTTGGTCAAAAGCCTTAAAATGATGTCAAACCAGCCTTCATTATTCCTTCACCTCCAATAATGTGCATTATATATTTTTATTATATAGCATTTTTTGTATTATATTATATTGATGTGCAACTTAAAATAACATGGAAAAGCAGGTGTGCAAATTATACACTAAATATTGTTTCAAAAGTTTACACTTAGATATTGCTTGATAATAACCGCAGGTTTGGCATGCTGTCCCAGCAGAGAACTCTGAACTCAGATATGATAATTAATAATAAGAATAAGATAATTGAGCCCAGGGCTCCCGTCTGGTCAATGAACATGTACTCTTCAAAAGACAAAGATAAGGGAGTAATGCTAGATGGATTATAATTACAGATGAGAGACCAACTATGATCAAATCACTTGCTCCACTCGAAATTAGTTTGTGCAACTTCACAAAGTGAAAAAACATTTTAAAAACCAAGTTCAACTACTTGTTTGAGACTGTCATTATCATTTTTATAATTATAAATAATAAAAGTGAACATTTAAATGTATTGCAGTGTTATTTGACTAAATTTAGATACTATAGTAGTTTTGATTGATAGCTTGATTTAAGTTTTATTTCTATATGTTTTGTATTTTCATTCCTAATTAGTTTTTGCACATTTCTGTCATAGTTGAATTGGTTGAACTGTATAACCCTGCTGTATTGGCATTTTTAAATAATTGAATAATTTTTGAACACGTTGCTAACATTCATCACGGTAAGAACTCATTTGGCATACTTTAAAACTAATGCATCTACTATCTGGCAACTTACTGGCGATGACAAACTCGTCTGGAAGCTCTGAGGCCAGTTTTTCACTAGCAGCATCAGCGATGGGTCCAAACAGCACAACTGGCCTCCGGAAACCCGCTGTGTGGAAAGAAGACAAAACTCACAACCAAGATTTCACAGCACAGAGAATCCGTTTAAGCCTGAATAAAACAAAAAATGGTGAATGTGAATGAATGATTTAGCTATGTAAATGGAGAGGGTTCAAAAAAATCTGAAGAGTTTTGAATTTAAAACAGCCTCTTTTATATTCCCGACTGTGGCTTCTGCCTCATAAATCAGGCCTTTATTGAGTCATTTTCTTATTTCTCTGAGCCAAGAGCTCAGAGCTCATTTTTCAAGCTTATTAAACATTTGTGAGGCATCTGTGTGTGGGTTTGCAGAGGCTTTCATTAGCAGTATTAGTCTGGTCTGCTCAGATGTTACATGTATGTGTACGCAAATGCTGTCTTACTGAGAATGTTTAATGTAGAAAAGATGCAGGTATGATGAGCACATTAAGAAATTTGCTATCCATTACATTGGTTGCTGGCAGTGATGGGCTCTCTTAAACTTTCACTTTTTCTATCTCTTTCAAATTGTTTACTTGTGTCTTCACACATTATATAGAAGTGGTCTGGATTAGAAAAAAAAACAGTGTAATTATTATTTTTTTCTTTTAACTATTTTTTATTAACCCTTCAGCCTCCTGCAAAACACATGCTTAGTGCACAGATACATATAGTATTGACCTGTACATGATTTTATAGCACCCTTTGTATTTTACAGTTTTAAGAAAAATAATAATAAATAAATAAATAATAAATAAATAAATAAATAAATAAATATATATATATATATATATATATATATATATATATATATATATATATATATATATATATATATTATTTTTTAAACTGTAAAATATATATATATATATATATATATATATATATATATATATATATATATATATATATATATATATATATATATATATATATATATATATATATATATATATCAAAAACACTAAAAAACCCTGAACACAGAGCAACAACATTGGATTGGATCAATATATATAAAAAAAAAACAGAATAAACAGGCCAGTATAAAGAAAGAAAAAAAGGGAATACTGTTATTTTTATTTGACTAATTCATTTAATATATAATCTTCATATACAAACCACTGTGATATGATGACTTGTCTAATTACCCTATGGATACACCTTAATAAAATGGGAATGGTTGTTGATATTAACGTCCTGTTTGTGGCATGTTAATATATATGAGGGGGCAAACTTTTCAAAATGGGTGGTGACCATGGTGGCCATTTTGAAGTCGGCCATCTTGGATCCAACCTTTGTTTATTCAATAGGACGAGGGTCATTTGACACATCAAACTCATTGGGAATTTCACAAGAAAAGCAATGGTGTGCTTGGTTTTAACTTAACTTTATTCTTTCATGAGTTATTTACAAGTATCTGACCATGTATAAAATGTGTTTAATGTGCTGCCCATTGTGTTGGATTTTCAATGCAACCCTCTTCTCTCACTCTTCACACACGGTGCATTGACGATGCTTTCCTACACAGTGTAATGTTTTGATGGGAGGCTATAACAAGCTGTCTGTATAAACACACAGACATACAGCACCATTCACACTCATACACAAACATAGACAGCACCAAACAAACAAACAAACACACACACACACACACTTAAGCCCTCGCAATATGCGTTTAGCTGGGAGAGCTCGCGCTGAGCGGAGCAAAAAAAAAAAAAAAAACTAAAAAAAGAAGCACTTTTCCGACGGTCCCTTACTAAGAGCTCCGCTCAGCGCGAGCTCTTCCAGCTAAACGCATATTGCGAGGGCTTAAACAGAAAAGTGGTCATAATATCGAGCAAAAATAAAGAAAAAGGCAGCTGTGAAACACAACCAGTTTTATCTTTTTGTAGGAAACACACTTGAGATCTTTTTAGGGTAATTGCCGTCTATAACTGAATGTGTCAGGAATATCGAAGACAAAACTAACTTAACCGCGCTCATTTCTGGTGCCCTCCTGGATGTACCGCACCCTTAGCCATTGCCTATACTGCCAATGCCACGAGCCGGGCCTGAGTTGGCTCCTGAGTGTTGTTTATACCTGCGCTCACCTCCCTCGGGACAGAGCGCATAGGAGATAAATGACGTCAGTACATAATAACCGGTTATGTTTATTACTGAACCGATACCGAATTGTCCGCGTCTGCATCGCAGTGCACTGAAGAAAAGTTTAATTTTGACACCCCTAGTGCCAGTGAATAAAGAGGGAAACACATCATCATGTAGCAATTTCAAATATCTAGTGGCCTTGAGGTTTCCATTGATGAAGAATGGCCCGCTATCTTTGTTGTCTATGGTTTGAAGATACAAGATGTGCAGCACCTGAAACTACAGATACTGGAAGCCTGAGCTGGCATTTCTCCTTCGGTGTTGCTATCATTGTGTGAAGAGTGGGAGAAGAGGGTTGCATTGACAATGGGCAGCAAATTGAACACATTTTATACGTGGTCAGAAACTTGTAAATAACTCATGAAAGAATAAAGTTATATTAAAACCAAGCACACCATTGCTTTTCTTGTGAAAGTCTCAATAGGTTTGATGTGTCAAATGACCCTCTTTCTATTGAACAAACAAAAGTTAAATTCAAGATGGCCAACTTCAAAATGGCCTAGAAAATAATATAAAAAATAACATATTTACACAGTATATAAATGGCATGGTGTGCTATAGGCATCACGGTACCAGACCAGAGTAGTGCATAATGAGGACCACCCAGTGACGGTCTCCAAATAGTGCATTATGGGATCGTTCTCTTTCTCTGCATGCGGACGCACCTTCTCTTAGCACCACCCTCTCGTAGGCTGGGAATCTGGTGGCGACGGCTGCTGAACTCTCCTCTCGGCTCTTCCGCAGGTCCTTCTTCTTAGCCGCTCTCTGACCCCGCAGCCTCCAGAAATCTGCTCGGTCACTGCCGGTGCCCTTGTGTGTGTTCTGGACGTTCGCCATCTGCTCCGCTCTGATCAACATAGAAGAAAAAGACAGAGATAGAGCATTATAGAGCAGAAACATGAAATAGCGGATAAAAACTGTGAATTGTACAGTCCAATAAAGTGTGACCCATAAACCCTCAACTTGATTCACGATCCCTACAATTACCAACCTCACTTAATAGTCAAACAGCCAGTCTCTACTGAAAAAAACAGCTTAAACCAGCCTAGGCTGGTTGGCTGGTTTTAGCTGGATTTTTCAGCAGGTGTTAAGCAGACGCATTAGATCTGACCTGCTCTTATTGGGAATGATGCCCTTCTCCAACAGCTGGTTGTCTTTGCCCAGTCGGATGGCCAGCCAGTTCCCCAGTTTGCCGTCATATAAAGTGTCCACCACCTTGAAGATCTCACCCCGGGAGAAAGCGTGACACTGTGGAAGCTCCTTCTCATACTCAAAATGAGTCCGGATGAAAAACGAGTCTCCTCGACCGGACACCAGGATGTCTTCATAAACTAGGACAAAACAGAGACGTGAGCTCATAAACATGTCTAAGTTTAGATAGAGCAGGACCAATTTAATTTCATGGCAATTTTAGGCTTTATTAAATTAGTGGCTTAACTCCTATAATTTCATGTTCAATCTCTTTAATGCGTTTTCCTACCATCTGCTCACAAGACAGTAACAGTTCTATTAGGAGATTAGATTTTCATGCTTGCTTTTTCAATATATTGTACACTTTTCTTAAAATAAGATTGTACGAACTCGTCAAAATGATATATTTTTACAGTAACATCAGGTTGGGATGAAATAAGCAGTGTTTTGGAAGTACCTCTGAAAGTGTATTTACATTTTGAGTGTAATCTGAATGAGAACGTTGAAACTGAGACTACGTGAGTAGATGGGACTAAATTCAAGCAAAATTTGAATTTAAAGAAAACAAAAATTAATCTAAAGAAATAAATCAGTATATGAGCAATATATTTAAAAATCTATAATAAAATAAATTACAAAAAAAAGAAAATGTGCTGTAAATAATAACAAATAAAATGAATTGTTACCTATTTAAAAAATAGAATAAAAATGAAATAAATAGAACAGATAAATCAACAATAAACAGTAAAAACTACAAGTAAAAGTGATTTTATTTGGGGTTGTCCTGTTTTATACGTTTATATTCTGAGCTTTTTTTCTCCCTCGTCTTATTCTGAATTTTTCTTTGTGCTTCTTTTGAGGAAGGACAAACGGATGGAGAGACAGATGTATGGATGGATAGACAGACAGACAGGCAGACAGATCAAATGATGAAGGGATGGGGAAGGGACAGATCAAATGAGAGGCAGACAGACAGACAGACAGACAGACAGACAGACAAACAGACAGACAGACAGACAGACAGACAGACAGACATTAAATGTTATAAAAGACGTTTTTGAAACTTTTGAGCAGCTTGACCTGGTATTGAGTGTGATTCCAGGATAAGAGCTGGAGTGGTCAGATCTGCTGCAGTGGTGCTGATTAAAGCTCTGACAGCACATCTGTCTCTGCTCAGAGTAAATGAGCTTCAGCTCCTGACAGAAGCAGAGCTCACTGTCTGACCAGAGCCACAGTGGACAGAGACGCTCAACACCACAGAAGAGTTCATACTCTACAGTACATCAAACAACTCTCACTGCTAGAGGTGGCAATGATTAACTCAAGAACTATAAACTGTCAATAACTATTTAAATCCATACATGCTGTGTCTTAACTACCCGTAACATGACAAGACGCTATTTGACTTTCTGCGCCAAACGTGATGCAGTAAGACAAAAACATTTAAATATCAGCCACTGCACTCGCGGCAAAATAGTACGGGTTATGATCAAATGAATACATATTTATTTATTCATTTATTTATTCATAACTATTCCAGCATATGTTTTATGCAGCGAATGCCTTCCATTCGCAACCCAGTACTGGGAAATACCCATACACACTCACACATGCACGCATAGACTAAGGACAAATTTGTTTACCCAATTCACCTACAGTATAGCGCATGTCTTTGGACTGTGAGGGAAACTGGAGGACCTGGAGGAAACCCACATGAACACCTGCTAACTCCACACAGAAATGACAATTGACTCAGCCAGGACTCAAACCAGCGACCTTCTCAAAACATATGCTGAATAAGTTAAGGTCACTGTGGTGACCCCTGTCGAAGGAAAATAAATGAATGAATTTCAGACTGTTTTCTTGAACATGACAATGAGTTCACTATACTCAAATGGTGTCCACAGTCACCAGATCTCAATCCAATAGAGCACTTTTGGGATGTGGTGGAATGGGATATTAACATCATGGATGTGTAGCCGAGAAATCTGCAGCAACTGCGTGATGCTATCATGTCAATATGGAGCAAAATCTCAGAGGAATATTTACAGTACCTTGTTGAATCTATGCCATGAAGAATTAAGGCAGTTCAGAAGGCAAAGGGGAGGGGGGGGGGGGGGGGGGGCAACCCTGTACTAGTACGGAGTACCTAATAAAGTGGCCGATGAGTGTATATTATTGTTACAATAATTCAAGCTATTTATTTACAGTAAAACATTTTCCTATGGGTGACAATGCTTGCTTTTTGAGAGTCTTTTTCACAGCCTGTTTTTCCAGTGACAATGAGCCACTGAAATGCACAAATCTTGCAATATTATTAGCCTCCTATACATGGACAGCACATTTTAGCTCTTAAGTGGTTTTTTAAAATACTTTGAATGTTTTATATTTTGTTACCGACATACAGTGTCATCCTGCAACTGTTTGCAGCATATGAAATGTCCCAAACCCTTTTTTAACTGTCCAAAATGGGCAAAGAAAATTGTTTTTACTCTCTGATAGTCAAAACATGTAAAAAAAAAAAATCTATGTTATATATGCATTTAAACAGTCAGTTTTTATGTAAATTTGGCCCACAAGTCCACATATATGGACATCGTTTTTCTCTAAAAGTTCATCATATCAAAAGATGACACTTAGGTTTTTATTCTAATTAGGTTCCAATAAACCCAAATAGCAAAGAGAAATAAAAAATGCATGTAAAAAACACCTTGAGCCTTAAGAGGTTAAGGTTATCAATGGATAGATTTATTAATTATTCATAATGTGAATATCTTTAAACTTCTCTAGTACACTTAAAAAAATGATTCAAAGATGATTGCTTTACCAAATGTGTTTTTAAGTTAAATAGTTATGTTGTAAATTTCTAAGAACCCAAAAAACCAGGGAGAACTTTCAGTTGTCTTCAAAGCAGAATTCTTTTAATAAGAAGAACTCAGCGTGGCTGTGGCGTCATCGAAAGAAACTCTCCACTGCACAGCAAGCACTAGGGGCCCTATCATACACCGGGCGCAGTGTGGCGCAAGGTGTGGCGCAGTAGTCTTTTGGTAGTTTCAGCTTGGCGCAAGAGTCGTTTTGAGGCGTTGCGCTACGCTGTTTAAATAGCAAATGCATTAGCGTTCATATGTGCGCCCATAGGCGTTCTGGTCTAAACAGGAAGGCGTTCTGAGGCGGACCGCTGGCGCGTTGCTATTTTGAGAAACTATAATAGATTTTTCATTAGACCAAAACTAACCCGGTCTAAACTCCGGCGCAGAGTTGCGCCTCGCTTACGCACTGCTTAATACGCACAAGAGAGCAATAGGCAAATATCTTTACATGTGAAAAAATTTAAATATTAAGGATATATATAGGATATAATAAGATATAGGATATAAATATAAAGGATTAAAATATTACAAAACATATTATTTTCTAGCCTACATAAATATGAAAACCACTGCTTTTATGTCTTCTTCATCTCGGGAGGCTTTTTCAGTTCATTCATAACAATTTGCTTTTGTATAATGTTATTATTATTAGCAGTATTATTTATTATATCCTTATTTATATTTGTTTTATTAAAAACAAGCTTAGATTTGCCCACCTGTCAGGTTTTAGACCATATGGGCCACAGCATGTGTTTTAGGATATAACTCAGGTTTTTGAGCACATTTTGCTATTATTATTCATTTATTCATTTGCTGGAAATTAGAACTGAATTTAGAAAAAGTTTTGAAAGGAATATTTGCGCTTAACAAACAAAAGTATTTATTTATAGACTAATTGATGTCTGTGCGTAAAGGTTTCCCTATCCAAGAGCGAAAGTGAAAGTGATCCATTATCTCTCATTCTCACGCAGTAGATGCTCTGTTTAACAGTTTTCTGTTAAAAAACTGTTAACTGTTAACTGTTTGCTTGTGAAATGCTCAATTTTTCCACTTAGACTTACTTTGCGTCCTGTAAATAGCGAATGTGCTCTTGGCGCAACGCAGCTGACTCTTAAAGGTAATGGGAGATGAGACTTTAATTGGTTTATTCTCAATACACACCTATAACTCATTAAGAAAATAAACTCAATCCTTTTAGAACATGCGCCGCGGCGCAAGGCAGATTTCCCGTCCTTAAATTAGCAAAAACACGCTCTGACACACCCTGAAAGCGTTTGCGCCCTGCGTTTTGCACTCTGCGCATGGACCGTCAAAATAGAGCCCTAAATTTTTATACATTTTACATACAGTGATTCATGTAGGTGGGGACAGATGCAAATGAAGTGTTGTTGTCGGCAGGGTAAACTGCCTTTTCAGGCCTGATCTCATCAGCATGTAAGTCTGCAAAGTGCATGACAACATATTAGAAACCTGCCCAGCTACTGACCACATAAAAAGGGTTTCATCGACCTGAAAGTTTCACCCGAAGACAAAGGCAGAAAGTAGTTTGCAAAATGATGTTCTGGAGACAGAAACCGTCTGACCAGTTGACTAAAAAGAGAAAACAAGTTACACAGCTGTGATTTGCATTACTTTGGAATATAAATTTATATTCCCACAGTTGGAAGTGGCGCAGTGGGTAGCACGTTCGCCTCACAGCAAGAAGGTCGCTGGGTCGAACCTCGGCTCAGTTGGTGTTTATGTGTGAAGTTTGCATGTTCTCCCAGCCTTTGCGTGGGTTTCCTCCGGGTGCTCCAGTTTCCCGCACAGTCCAAAGACATGTGGTACAGGTGAATTGGGTTGGCTAAATTGTCCGTAGTGTATAAGAGTGTGTGTGGATGTTTCCCAGAGATGGGTTGCGGCTTGAAGGGTATCCGCTGTGTAAAAACATGCTGGATAAGTTGGCGGTTCATTCCGCTGTGGCGACCCCGGATTAATAAAGGGACTAAGCCGACAAGAAATGATTCCCACAGTTGTAAACAATTTATTTGGGCTGAATTTAAACAAACAAATAAGGTTAAACATTCCTAAATTGAATGTGTTTGTTTAAATTCAACACATATAAATTGTTTGCAATTTTGCAGACATCATCATTTCATCGAGGCACTGAAGCAGTCAAGATTCAGCACAGTGGTTTTCAGGTCAGGCATTTTGATCCTCACGTAACATGAAGCTCCCAAACATGAAAATCAGGATTTGTGCATGTTTGTAGATGTGTGCTCATGACCACACTTGGCACAACAGTCCCTTGAAGAGCTGAAACTGGCTCTGACTGGTTTTGTAGTGATGAGCAACAAGCCGTGACCTGTGTGTGTTCAGGGGGAGGGAGGACTGAAGAGACAGAGCTTCAGGCCCTTTCACACATACTCTGATGTATTTACTGGACACTCGTCCTACTGCTGCATGTGGGAATTTGTTCGGCCTTTCAAACCTGATGATGATGCCACACTTATGATGACCTACTTGCAAAGAAACGTCTTCCTATTGTTATTATTGTTGCTTGCATTATTTTATTTTATTTTACATCATTTTATTTTATCATACCCTATTATCATTATTCATACATTTATTTTCTCTTCAGCTTAGTCTCCTTATTAATCTAGGGTCGCCACAGTGGAATGAACCGCAATCTTATCCAGCATATGTTTTATGCAGCGGATGCCCTTCCAGCTACAACCCATCACTGGGAAACACCCATACATTCTCATTCACACACATACACAATGGACAATTTAGCTTACCCAATTCACTTGTACCGCATGTCTGAGCATAAGGAGCATACGGAGGAAACCCACCGGAACAAAGGGAGAACATGCAAACTCAACAAAGAAATACAATCTGACCCAGCCGAGGCTATCATCGTCATCATCATAATCAATTGGTGTTTTTAAATGATTTTTAAAACGAAGAATGCTGATCCGAGTATTTCAGAAACTGCTGATCTACTGGGATTTTCACGCACAACCATCTTTAGGGTTTACAGAGAATGGCGCGAAAAAGAGAAAATATTCAGTGAGCGGCAGTTTTGTGGGGGCAAATGCCTTGTTGATGCCAGTGGTCAGAGGAGAATGGCCAGACTGGTTCAAGCTGATAGAAAGGCAACAGTAAATCAAATAACCACTCATTAGAACCGAGGTATGTAGAAGAGCAATTCTGAACCCACAACACGTCCAACCTTGAGGCGATGGGCTACAGCAGCAGGAGACACCGGGTGACACTCAGGTCAGCTAAGAACAGAAAACTGAGGCTACAATTCACACAGGCTCACCAAAATTAGACAACAGAAGATTGGAGAAACGTTGCCTGGTTTGATGAGTCTTGATTTTTGAGGCGACTTTCGTATGGTAGGGTCAAAATTTGTGTCAACACCATGAAAGCATGGATCCATCCTTTCTTGTATCAACGGTTTAGGCTGGTGGTGGTGGTGTAATGGTGTGGGGGATATTTTCCTGGCACAGTTTGGGCCCATTGGTACCAATTGAGCATCATGTAAATGCCACAGCCGACCTGAGTATTGTTGCTGACCATGTCCATCCCTTTATGACCACAGTGGACCCATTTTCTGATGGCTACTTCCAGCAGGATAACACACCATGTCATAAAGCGTGAATCATCTCAGACTGTTTTCTTGAACATGACAATGAGTTCACTGTACTCAAATGGCCTAAACAGTCAACAGATCTCAATCCAATAGAGCATCTTTGGGATGTGGTGGAATGGGAGATTTGCACCATGGATGTGCAGCCGACAAATCTGCAGTAACTGCGTGATGCGATCATGTCAATATGAACCAAAATCTTTTTGCAGTTCTGAAGGCAAAAGGGGTCCAACCCAGTGCAAGTAAGGTGTACCTACCGTAAAAGTGGCCGCTGACTATATAACTATATAACAACTATATAATTATAATTAATCAAACAAACTAGCAAATACATGTTCTAAACAAACATAAATAAAAAAATAATAGATATAAAATAAATAGATCAATAAATATTAAAAAAATAAACATATTAGTAAAATATTAAGATAAAACACAAACAAAATTACAAAAAAAAAAAAGTATAAATAATAGTACACAAGGTATTTTAGTCCATCTCCAGTGACCGCTGGAGTGCACAGGAACAGTGGGTGAAGCCAGTGTCAGTTTAATGTGTTTAATGTGTGGTTCGAGTGAAGCTCATGTTCTCTTCTCTCACCTTCCGTTTTACTCTGGGCCAAAATGGTGACGACTTCACCCCGCGGGATCTCCAGCAGGAACAGCACAGCCTCCTCTCGCACAATTCCCCGAAAGTCAACATTATTTACCTGTGCACACACACACACACACACACACACACACACACACACACACAAACACACACACACACACACACACACACACACACACACACACACACACACACACACACACACACACACACACGCATTTATATACAGCTATAAGTTAAATATGGCAAAAGCCAAATCAAATTCAAATTCATGAAAATGGTACACATGATGGTAACATAAAGCTCCCTTGTTTATCCAGGGCTTTCTGAAAACTACGATGACCACATTACAAGAATTAGCCAGTTAATTACAGTACATACAGTTGAAGTCAGAATTATTAGCCACCTTGTTTATTTTGTCCCCCAATTTCTGTTAAACGGAGAGTAGATTTTTTTTCAACACATTTATAAACATAATAGTTTTAAAAACTCATCTCTAATAACTGACTTAATTTATCTTTGCCATGATGACAGTAAAAAATATTTGACTCGATATTTTTCAAGACACTTCTATACAGCTTAAAGTGACATTTAAAGGCTTAACTAGATTAATTAGGTTAACTGGGCAGGTTAGGGTAATTAGGCAAGTTATTGTATAATAATGGTTTGTTCTGTAGACTATCAAAAAATATATATAGCTTAAAGGGGGTAATAATTTTGTCCTTAAAATGGTGTTTAAAATATTTTAAACTGCTTTTATTTTAGCTGAAATAAAACAAATAAGACTTTATCCAGAGGAAAAAAATATTATCAGACATAATTTGAAAATTCCTTTGCTCTGTTAAACATAAATTGGGAAATATTTAAGAGAGAAAAAAAAACTCAAAGGGGGCTAATAATTTTGACTTCAACTGTAAATGCTTCAGGTTCAAATTAAATAGAACTGAATTATTGTATAATGTAAGAAAAAAGGATTCTAATGTTTAATGAAACAAATATATTAATTGCAATTCTAATAAAAAAAGTGTTGTAAATAATTTAGGAGATATAAAAATATATATGTAAAATTATTAATCAAATATTTATAATTATGATTGCTTTGCTTTGTTTTTCATGTCTTTTTAAACTGTATATTTAATGCAAAAAACGCAACTAACATAAGTCAACTAGATAAAGGAGAGTCAGTGGCTGTGGAAAAAATATATAAAAAAATAAAGAAATGTAAAAATATTAATATAAATAAAAATATAATAGCAACTATACATTTATAATCATGAATGGGCAAATACATAAACAAAAACAAACAAATAAAATAATAAATGAATGAATTAATTAAAATAATTATTATTTAACAGAGGGATAATAGAAAATTCTTTGTTTTTAAAAAACTCATTTTTTTATTTAAATTGCATATTTTTTTTCTTGTTAATGTTCAAGAAAATTTAATTATGCAAGTTGAACCCAAATATTCCAATAACTTAATGGGCTTAATTTAAAGAAAACTAATGTATATAACTAGTCAACTGTTAACAATACTTTTTGATCAACAAGAGACATTGAGTTAAACTGACTAAAGTCACTTACGTTATATGAACTGACTAAATTTGTTTAGAAGTTACAGGTTTGTCTATTGAAATTAGTTTTACAAGGAAACATTTAATTTAAGCTTAATGGATCAAAATAAGCTTTCACAAAATCTAATTGGTCCCACTTTATGTTAAGTGGCATTAACTGATATGTACTTACACTGAAATTAATCATTCATTACAATGTAATTGTTGTTTAAATACATGTTTTTACATTGCACCTATGCTTGATAAAATAGCTGAATGTAATTACATCTGTAATTAATTTCTGTAATTACACTGTTGAGCATCCCTTACACCTTAACCCACCCTAAACCTGCCCATACCACCAAACCTGTCCTTATCGCAAACCATAACCCACCTCAATATTGTTCTGAAATATATTATGAACACAGTAAGTACACTGTATTTAAATTTTAATGTAAGTTCATAGTAGTTAAGGACACTTAATATAAAGTGGGACCATTTAAGTTATTACCTTCATGATCTGATCTCCTACACGCAGACCCTCTTCTTCAGCTGGACTGCCCTCCTGCACTCCTGCGATGAAGATTCCCACATCATTTCCTCCAGCCAACCTCAGGCCAACACTCTCTCCTTTCTGAAAGCTCACCATCACAGTGTTGGGCCTTAAAAAGAGCAAAAGGTGTTTGCTATTTTCAGTTTTCCTGCGATATTAGCTTAAAAAAGAATTCAAATCAACCAATGCTACCTGCAGACCTAATACACATGTTTTTGCTTTGTCCATCAATCACTTCTTTTTGGCTATCAATTTTCACGTGTTTCTCTTCTGTGACAAAGATACACATCCAACCGTGTCCTCTTATTGCACTTTTTGGACTTTCCCCGAATATAGCAAAGTTATCCAGCTGTACTGCAAACGCCCACGCATATTTGACACCGTTTGTTTTCTGTTATTATGGACACAAAGATTTCCCCCCGAGTTTTGACAACTGGTTGCCAGATGCAATGAGCTTCATCCATTTGGAAAAAAATAGGTTTACAATAAATGGCGAAGCTAGGGTTTTTTCTGAAACATAGGATCCATTTAGAATGTTTTTTTCTGAGCATGTCAGTAACTGTCAATCTAAATCTTAAGGCCTTTCAAATGCAATACAAACATAATTAAGTATTTTGTATAAATACCTAGGGATTCATTTTTTGTAATATTGGCTTATCAAAGTATCTGTGTATTCTGTACAGATGTTTTATTTTTAATTAATTCATTTTTGTTTTGTAATTTGAGTATGGCTGCATTTCATTTTTTAAGTGAACGCTACAGGGCGGTATGACGCCGTTCCTTTTCGCGCTTATTTCTGTGTGGAGGGCTTTCCCGCTGCAACCGGTTTGTCCAGTTAGCTCGTTGACGATGAAATCCAGAAATCCGGTAAGACAAAAAAAATATCCAAAAAATAAAGTGAACAAGTTCATAACAGGGTGAGAATGTGGTAAAATTCGAAAACATAGTAAAAATCAGTCGACGGCTTTTCTTTTTCTGGACGGCTTTTGTAAATTGTTGATTGGGTTTAGGGAAGTAAGCGGGTGGGCGGGTCAATTGGTAAAATTGGTTGGGTTTAGGGAAGGAGGAGGGTGGGTTAATCGATTGGCCGGTCGCACAGTCAATCATTCAGTCAGTCAGTCAGACAAACAGTTGTTCGACAGTGGCCTCTGGTGTGTTTACGTGAGAGCAGCACAAGCACGAACAGCACTCACGAGAGACATTTGAGATACAAAAAAAGCACACACAGTGGCCCTTCTGGGACGTATTTTGCGGTCTCTAGAAACGTCCACGGGACTACGTTTGCAGAATGAGCCTGGGTTGCATACAGGGGCGCCTGCAGGATTTCATTCCAAGGTACGCACAAATCCAGCAACGCCCCGCCCCCTTCCGATGGCTGTTATTCCAGTATTCAAACATTAAATAACGAATGCATCAAGAAAAATAAAAACAAATATTTTTTTTAGAATTTTGCAAAATTCTGCTCTTTTTATCTTTTCTTGTTTATTATTTTATTTTTGTTAGTTTTAATATTTTATTGTCTTCATAATTAAAGCTATAGACAAAATCCTGCTTGACATTTTAGAAAATATTTTGCGTAGCTACCCAGTATGTATTAAAGATCACTGAGATCAAAATTATATTTAACTGAATAAATCGTAAAAAAAAATGTTAAAATTGCTCATTTTATTTTTAGAAAACATTTTATTATTTTTGAGTAAAAACTATACCAACATTTAAGAATCCATATTTATTTTATTTATTCATTAATTTGACCTGTTTATTGGTGCATATATGGGCTATAATTTAACTCACACAACAGTACCTTGGACAGCTAAAGTGCCACTAAAACTTTCAAACACAACCCCAATAAAGTAATTAAAGATTAGACTTTCTCCGGTGACGGCCGACATCTCAACACCCCGTAACCATCCTTCGGGTGGTATAGCCGCCATTAAATCACAAAACAAGATGTCTGGCTTGACTGAAGTGCAAGAGTCTGCAAGTTCATAGTATGTAGCTATAGGATTGTGAACATCAATAATGTCAAGCGTGTCTTTATTCGATGCACAGCAGAAAAAATAGTCTTTCGGCAGTGCATGTAGCTGTTGGTTAAGTTCTCTCCCGGAGTCCTCAGTGGAGAAACAACCGTAACCATACCCAAGTGTTCTCAAAATGATTTGGCACGATAGTGGAAAAGCAGGCAGCTGTAGTGTATACTGTTTAATAATCAATTTAGATGATGTCACAAATAAATAAATAAAATAAAAAGCGGCATTAATTCCCGCCTTCTCATGGTAGGTACGCACAGTGCGTACAGCCGTACGGCTGCAGGCGCCACTGGTTACATATATGGATTTATTTGGTTGTTACCAACATCTAAGGAAAATTTTATGTCAACGGCACCTTCAGAAATATATTTTCTGAGAAAAAAAGGTGACATGTTTTATACTTATTTTCCCCGGTGTATGTGCCATTTTGATAATAAATTCTCAAATGTCAAAACAGTTGTGATTATTAATTTTACCATTATACAGCATGACAAAAACAAATCTTTATTTTCTTTAACCTAAATTTTGATTTGGGTGCTTGGACATTGAGTTGCCTAAAATTTGACTAAAAAAAACAGGATGCTGATGACTAAATATGCGTAAAACTGCATCTGACAGAGGAAAAAGACCAAGTGTAAAAATAGCTGACGAAATTAACACTAATTAAAGCCAAGCGTCTCTGTAAGCAAGAGCAGGACACCGAAATAACCTCTCCCAGTAGAAAGGAGCAGCAGCTGACTGGCTCTCCCTCATGAATATGGAGGAGCCGACTGAGAGGATGATTAAAACAGAGAGACAGAGCGAGATTGCAGAGGTTTCCACCCGTCTGTAAAGCTGTGATGCAGATATGACCATCGCCTCTCTTCATCTGTTTCCGTTTCATTTCCTGGGCTTCAACTTTATCTTCAAACATGCAGTTCAGCCTAATTTCAAATTCTGTCATTATTTACTCAACCTCATGTTGTTTTGCTCAGAACAAATACGTCTCTAAAACATGAAGCTGAGCAAACAATGTCAGAATTTAATTTCACACACCCCTATTGTGCCCTTTTAAATGTTGCTTGTTTTGTTTAGAAGATCTGCTTAAATAGGTTTACAAGCATCCGAGGTAAATACAACACATTTTTTACATTTCAAATCATGCGTTTACACAACAAACACTACGCGTGAGGAAGTGATGATGGATTGGTAGTAAGTCTAAACAAAAACAGAAACGTTTTCCCCTTGTAATCAATGTTTACACAGAAAAAAACAGACAAAATGCTGTACTCGGTAGGCAAGGTAAGTATTAGGAGCTGTCGTCTTGCTAGTAAACAGTATTCGTGAGGAAGTGACAATGGGTTGTTAGTGTTGTTGCGATGTGTTGGTAGTGACTTGGCGCTGGTTTGTATGTAGAATTTGAGGCTACTTTTACACTACAATAATGTAACCAAAAACGCTAGTGATTTTCCTCTGCGATCCATGTTTACACATCAAAAAAACAGCAAAGATTCTGTATTACATACAGTATGCTAGGCCAGTTTTTTGAGCAGTCATCTTGTTACTAAATAGTACCCATGGGGAAGTGACGATGACGATCAGTAGTGACCCTGCACTGGTTTGTAAAATTTGAGGCTACTTTTACACTACAATTATGTAGCCAAAAATGAAAACGTTTCACCCTTGCGGTCACATTTACACATTAGAAAAAAACAATAAAAAATTCTGTATTACGTATGCTACGCCAGTATTTGGAGCTGTCATCTTGTTAGTAAACAGTAACCGAGAAGAAGTGACGATTGGTAGTGACCCTACGCTGGTTTGTATGTAGAATTAGAAGCTACTTTTACACGACAGTTATGTAACCAAAAACGGAATCCATGTTTACACATTAGAAAAAACACAAAATGCAGTATTACATACATTACGCTAGTATTACATACAATATGCAGAATTTGTGAGGTAGTGACAATGTGTCGGTAGTGACTCTTTGCTGGTTTGTATGTAGAATTTGAGACTACTTTTACACTACAATGATTTAGCCAAAAACAGAAATGTTTTTTTCTTGCGATCCACATTTACACACCAGAAAAAGGTCTAAAAATGCTGAATTACATATGCTAGGCCAGTATAAAGTAAATAGTACTCATGAGGTAGTGACGATGTGTCGGTAGTGACTCTACACTCGTTTGTATGTAGAATTTGAAGCTACTTTTACATGACAATTATGTAACCAAAAACGAAAGCGCTTTCCCCCTGCTATCCATGTTTCCACATTAGAAAACACCACCAAAAAGGCTGTATTACGTATGCTAGGCCATTATTTGGAGCTGTCTTCTTGTTAGTAAACAGTAACTGAGAAGAATTGATGATGTGTTGGTAGTGACCCCGCAATGGTTTCTATGTTAAAATTGAAGCTACTTTTACACAACAATTATGTAGCCAAAAACGGAATCCATGTTTACACACTAGATATAACACCAAAATGCAGTATTACATACAGTATGCTAGTATTACATACAATATGCAGAATTTGTGAGGTAGTGACAATGTGTCGGTAGTGACTCTTTGCTGGTTTGTATGTAGAATTTGAGACTACTTTTACACTACAATGATTTAGCCAAAAACAGAAATGTTTTTTTCTTGCGATCCACATTTACACACCAGAAAAAGGTCTAAAAATGCTGAATTACGTATGCTAGGCCAGTATAAAGTAAATAGTACTCATGAGGTAGTGACAATGTGTCGGTAGTGACTCTACACTCGTTTGTATGTAGAATTTGAAGCTACTTTTACACGACAATTATGTGACCAAAAATTAAAGCACTTTCCCCCTGCTATCCATGTTTACACATTAGAAAACACCGCCAAAAAGGCTGCATTACGTATGCTAGGCCAGTATTTGGAGCTGTCTTCTTGTTAGTAAACAGTAACCGAGAAGAAGTGATGATGTGTTGGTAGTGACCCCGCGGTGATTTCTATGTTAAAATTGAAGCTACTTTTCCATGATAATTGTGTAACCAAAAACTAAAGCGCTTTACCCCTGTGATTCATGTTCACACATTAGGAAAAACTGCCAAGATGCTGTATTACATATACTATGTAGAATTTGAAGCTACTTTTAGATTACAGTTATGTAACCAAAAACGAAAACGTTTTACCCTTGCGATCCATGTTTACACATAAGCAAAAATAGCCCAAAGCATTGTATTACTTTTACTAGGCCAGTATTTGGAGATTTCGTCTTGTTAGTAAACATTACCTATGAGGAAGTGACGATGGGTTGGTAGTGACGATGGGTTGGTAGTGACTCTGCGCTGGTTTGTATGTAGAATTTGAGGCTACTTTTACACTACAATTATGTAGCCAAAAACGGAAAAGGTTTTCCCTTGTGATCCACATTTACAGATCAGAAAAATTTCCAAAAATGCTGAATTACGTCTGCTAGGCCAGTATAAAGTAAATAGTACTAATGAGGAAGTGATGATGTGTCTGTAGAGACTATGTTGGTTTGTATGCAGAACTTGAAGCTACTTATACACAACAGTTATGTAGACAAATACGAAAAAGTTTTTCCCTTGCGATCCATGTTTACACATAAGCAAAAATAGCCCAAAGCATTGTATTACATATACTAGGCCAGTATTTGTTAGTAAACATACCCATGAGGAAGTGGCGATGTGTCGTTAATGACTCTGCGCTGGTTTGTATGTAGAATTTGAGGCTACTTTTAAGCGTTAATTTTCGTCATATACAAACAAAGTAAATGTCATATCTGTGTCTGTTCTAATCGCAGATTTTAGAATTGTACCCTAGTAAAATGATGAGTAAGTTCCATTTTCCTTAAGTTTTTATAATTACAGATGTGTGAATTTTATTTACACATGAAATATTTAAGTGTTTTATTCAATTGTAAAGACAGCCATTGAAATACTCATTGGAAAAAACCCTGCAAACTAAACCTCTATGACTTTTATGAAATGTATAATAATAATGATAAAATAATTAAAATGATATTGTAATCAATGTTAACAAAGTTAGCATATAAGTTTCTTCGCATAATAAAGGGAAGATTTTGTGTGTGCTGACTGCCGACTGAACTCCAGCCCTGTCTCCAGATGTCAGCTCAGCCAACAGTGAGTCCTGAGGTTTAGTTAGTGAATAAGATCTTAGTTCAGTGGATAAGATCATGTGTGAAGAGGACTGAAGCTGCAGGTTATTCACAGCATCCACTCACCCGTAAATGGCCTCATCCTCTGGGCTCGGTCTGAGGAGGATCTTGGGTGTCATCTTTATTGCTGCTGCACATTAAATAAAAAAAAAAAATGATTTAGCATCAGATTCATTATGAAACTAACAACTGAGCCTTGTTTTAGTCCTACTGTAAAAAACTGATCTTCACTATAAATACTGATCATAAGGTTTGTAGTCATTAACATTTGTTTGTGTCACTTTTATTCAGAAATGCTACATTACATTGATCAAAAAGGAAACAAACACACTTGCATGATGAAACATTATTTGTAATAAATCATGTTCTTTTGACCTTTTTGTTAAATCAATAAATCATAGAATATGTATTAAATTTTTTTTTTACAGTTTTCAACCAACATTGATGATAATAATACATCAGATCAGATAAATCACAATAATTTATTTTCATTTAATTGTGCAGCCCTACAGTGTTAACTTAAAAAAAATACTTTTAAAATATAACACAATATCTTTCAATATTTTATTGCAATGTTTCTGATCAAATAAATGCACGTTGGTGAGCATAAAAGACATCAAACGGCAAACTTTTGAACAATAGTGAATACTTGTTATAATCATGGCAAAAAAGTGTATTTTTTATAAATAAAATTAATTTTAAAAACATAAAATATAAGCAAATATATAAATACTCTTATTTTTGTGACATTGGGATCATTTCTCTCTGATGAAAGATTTAGCTTCACATTAAGGGATCCGACATGAACTTTTGATAGTAAATAACACACTGAGGTAAATCTCAGAAGTCAATGTCAATTTTTTTTTGTTTTCAGTATATGGTTTGACTGTTTGGTCATCTTAAAGTTTAATAGTTTTTTTATAGCTATCTTAAAATAGGCTGAAGGAGACTTCACTACTTAGTTCGTAACTCTCTGGTTTCATTTAGTCAGCCCTGCCGTGTTTATATAGCATTCCCAATTCTCTGCCAAAGGATATCAAACCATAACGCGTCTAATAACTACACAGTCATTACAGTTTTTACAATCAGCTATGAAGAAATTACAAAATGACGTTCATACGTGGTGGTGGTGGCGGTGGTGGTGGCTCTTCATCCTGTGGTTCTACTCTCTCCTCCTGAGCTGGATGTGGCTCCTCTACAGTTTTGTATGGAGAAGAAGTGACAGGGGATTTTGTCAGTCTGCTTTGAGGATCCTCCCTGAAAATACAACAGATAAATGTCAGTTATGACGCGACAGCTTCTGAATAACAAAATTCAAGTTCTCACAATATTTAAAACATACTAACAGTTAAGATTTTCCCAGGACAGCCTTATATTTTGCCTCTATTTTAAGTATGCAGACTTAATGTGCAAAAATAAAATTAATTTTTCCTTAAAAAGTGCTAATAGTAGCCAACCAGTCAAAGAGATTCTGTTTTTTGTTTTAGTTTTTTTTTCTAATCCAGCACTTTTCAAGCACTCTCCAGGTGTGTACTTCAAACGTGTTGCAAATTACATATTCGCATTCATACTTCATCACGTTATATCAGATGCCAGTGTTATAGCATGTTATTACATGGCTGTCTAGGATACTCAATTCTGATTATTCAGTCGCAACATTCCAAGGTACAGTATGTTATTCCCAGATAACAACTACTGAATAACACAGGCTCATTTGGGAACTCAGGCCACTGTTTTTGACTGTTTGGTGCCTTCTTGTGAATGAAAAACATGTTGGTTAGTACATATTCTTCATTCAACTGGTTTCATTGCTGTCAGATTTACTTTTTTGACTGTTTGACGCCATCTTGTGACTGATTAAAGCACAGATTATGGTATGCTCCATCAGCTTCTTTCAGCTGTTTTTGTTTGTCAGCATTGCGTTAAATTAAAGAACTAATAAATTACTACAACTCAGAACTATGTATTGTGTTTAATTTTTACGTTTTGTGTTAAGTAGCCCTGTAATAAGCAGGATAAAGTACATCCAGAAAGATCGTACAGCGAATGTGCTACTTTACCGTGAATGACAATAAACACTTTAATTCTTGAATGCATTTTTTTTTACCATTTATTATTGAATACAAGTCTAAAACTACAATGGTCATAACATTTTTACTACATTAGTCAAAATTATTATTTCTCTTTTAATTCTTTCCCTGCCAGCATTCCATAAAAAAGAAGTTGCCAGCTACTGCCAGCATTGTTGATCATTTTCTCCTAAATTTGACAGTCCTCAGAATATTTTCATGGTGCTCACCTGGTGTTCTCTCGTGCCACATCATTTGATGAGTGTGAGGAGAGGTCAGATTGGCGTGACCTTTGGTCATCTTGAGGTGAGTAGGAATGGTATGACTCCATCTCGGAAATATCTGAAAGAAACAAAACACTACGATGAGAAATGGAGGCCTTTCCTTTCTCCTTCTTCTTCTGGACAGAAAAAGGACAGGCCCAGAGGAGACAGAATTACATGGACCCACAACCACAAAGAACAGACCACCGTGTTACTGTCGACTTGGTGTTAATTTTGCCCAAGATCTGCCCCGTTATAACAATCCTTTCTGTTTATATACACTGTGTGATTTTAACCACAGGATTGTCATGCCTTTTTGACCAAAGACACGACCCAAATGGTGGTGATTTACAATGCCTGTGTGACTCAAATGCCCAGAATTTCATAAAGCTGTCATGAAGAGACTAATAGCGGTGTTATACAGAGGCAGAAGGTGTGTCGGACAGGTGTGATTAATCTTTAGGAACACCCTGAGAAAGACAGGAAAAAAGAGGACAGGCAGGAAGTGACATCTACTGCAAAAACAGAGTCTTGGAAAGCAGAGATTAGATAGTGCTCACAGCACGTGTTAAAGCTACATTGACAGTTAAAGGAACAGTTTGCTAACAATAAATACGAATTGAAAATCCAGTCACCATTTACTCACCCTCATGTCATTCCAAACCTGCATGACTTTCTTTCTTTAATGAAACATCCAATTTAAAACTTTTAAAAAAATAAAGTTATTAAATCATTCAATTTTTTTGTTGCAGACAAATCACTAAATCAGTCAAACATTTAAGAGCTTGATCAGTTTAATTTGTGACTGAACCACAAAGTCGTATTTGTAAATTAACCGAATCAGTTCAGCTCAAAAGAATCACTTAATCTTGAATCAGATTGATTTGGTTCAAGCTGAGTAAAATAATTGTTTAAATCTACACTTTGATTTATCTTTCATGAATCACTGTAAACAAATCTCTGTCATTAAAGCCTCATTTGGAAATGAATCATGCAGTCTGATTTGGAAATTAGCTTATTAGTTCATTTTGATAAACATCAGCACAAAATACAGACTTAATGTTGAATCAGATCAATTAGGTTCAAGTTGAGTCAATAATTTGGTTAAATCTCCACTTTGATTCATCTTTCAAGAATCACTGTAAACAAATCTGTCAATAAAGCCTGATTTGCAAATAAATCATGAGGTCTGATTTAAAAAATTAGCTTATTAGATCATTTTGATAAACATCAGCTCAAAAGACAGACTAAATGTTAATTCAGATTGATTTGGTTCAAGTTGAGTCAATAATTTGTTTAAATCTCCACTTTGATTCATCTTTCATGAATCACTGTAATCAAATCTCTATCAATAAAGCCTGATTTGCAAATGAGTCATTAGGTTTGATTTGAAAATTAGCTTAATTGGTTAATTTTTATAAACATAAGCTCAAAAGACAGACTTAATGTTGAATCAGATTGATTTGGTTCAAGTTGAGTCAATAATTTGGTTAAATCTCCACTTTGATTCATCTTTCAAGAATCACTGTAAACAAATCTCTGACAAAAAGCCTGATTTGCAAATGAATCATGCAGTCTGATTTGGAAATTAGCTTAATTCATTCATTTTGATAAACATCAGCTCAAAAGACAGACTTAATCTTGAATCAGGGATACTTCAACCCAGTTGAGTCATTGATTCCTTTAATCATGATTTCATCAAAGTCTTTTCTATGACTCATCTTTTAAAAATCATCGCAAATGAATCACCAGAGTTGGTGAAAAAACAGAAATTACATCAGCCTAGTTTGTACGTTTATTTTGGAAACCAGCTCAATCTGCTCATTTTGAAATAATCAGCTAAAAAGAATGACTGATTCACTGATTCAGCTGAATCAACTGCACTGATTCTCAGGTTAAAAACATTAACTTAATATTCATTTATGCTGCAGAAAAGAAAGCAGGTCTTGGGTTTTTGTAATGACACGAGGATGAACCGTTCCTTTAATTCCTCCACCTAGAGTTCTACTTTGTCCTAGATAGTTGAGAATTATTGTTTACAAGTGAAACCCACATAAAAGCAGAGCAAGAAAATGCAGAATGGCTCTGGAAGAGAGAGCAGGAGAGAAGCAGTGACGGCCGGCCGGGGAGATAGAGAAGAGTTACTGTGTGGTCTGCTGGTGCATTAACAGAGCTCTTCTGGAGGGCGATACACCATGCCTGATCTCCAATCTAAAACACACTCCTTCAAAACACTGTTGCCCACCTGCTCACGGCTCAGGGTGGGTTAAAGTGCACTGCTAACAGAGTAAACAGAGGAAAATACTCCCACAGCTTCATCTGCAGATCAAAATACTATACAGTAAAATACACAAATAATTGCTAATGTCTTTGACCCATATGTAAAGAAATGTTTGATGGTATATTGGGGTCTGAATGAGACCATAATGAGAATCTGATATTGTAACATTTGATTTAACTAACCTCGTCCAAACTTGGTTTGTCTGTATCCAAAGTTCAACAGTGACAAACGTCTATTATGTCTTCCTATTATGTCCCTTTTTACAAGATGTACTGTAAAATAATTATCTGTTGTCCCTGGAGTGTATGTATGCAAAGTTTCAGAACAAAATGTCCCACAAATAATAGTTTATAACTCTTTGAAACTGCCCCTTATAGGCTTTGATCCAAATTGTGCCATTTTCACTTTCATTTTCGCTTTAAATTCAAATGAGATTGAGCTCTTTTCAAAAGAGGGAGGAGCTAAAAGGCCTGTGTGTCAGCATAGTGGCAGATAGATTCAAAACAGGACTAATGTTATCTCAGTGAAAAACTGAAAATGTCAAAAGAAGTGTCTCAGAAGAAGGACGGTTGCTTCTCACTCAGGGCTGTTTATGCTAATGAGGGAGAGATTGTCCCTAATAAGAGGGGCTTTCCCTCGCTGATAACATGTACAAAGGGAGAATGTCAATCAAAGTGTTTCTACAGGCTGTTATTATCAAATGTGAATATTTAAAAATAAAATAAATTTATTTTATCCATTAGAAGCTGCTTATTTTCACAGACTGATGCCACAAAGCTGTTTAAACCACAAATAAAATAGATTTTTGCATAATAGGGCCCCTTTAAATTGGGGTTAATTATGAAAATAATGTTTAAGAATTCTAAAAAATCCATCCAAACTAATCATAGGATATAAAATTAACATGTAAAAATGATTTGTGTGTAATATAGAGTCATAAAATGTCTCCAGCGTGGGGAAAATAAAAGAAAAATTTTCAGCAAAACAAATGTGATAGAAACAACTCTATTTTAGAGTCCAGCATCTACATATGATAAATATATTACAATAAAGCAGTTATTTAAACAAGGTTTCCGCAGGTTTCAGCAAGCTAAATTTAAGACTTTCCTAAAACCATTATGAATGAAATTTTAGACTCATACAGGGCAAAACACTAAGGTTTTTCAAATGGCCCAAATGGAAATATTTTTATTTGCCTTATCACACTTTTTTTTTAAATAATTTCATAAACTTAATAAATATTTAATAATAAATGATAAAAAATAATAATTTAATAATTAGAAAAAACACATTTTAGTTAAATATGAGCAAAATATTTAAATATTGTGTCAAAACAAGCAAGCTCTAGTTGCTAATCATACGCTTTTTTTCAACATAAACTTTCTTTAAAAAAATTACATTTATTAATTTTTACCATTTTTACCATGAGAATCTTTACCATTTATATTCGCAGATTCCAAGCAACTGTTTAAACCATAAACAGAAGTGATTTTTGCATAAGAGGCCCTTTTAAATTAGGGTTAATTATGAAAATAATTTTTTTTTTTTTTTTTTTAATCCATCCAAACAAATCATATGACAAAATTTAACCTGTTTTTTTTTATTAAGAGGTATTTATGTGACACTGGTACTAACTAAACCAAATTTTGGGGGCCTGCAAACTTTTAAAATTAGAATAAATTTGGCAATGTGTTGCCTATATATGTTGCATTGAAATTAAAAAGTTGAAATATTATGTTTTGAATCAAAAAGCAGCTGTTACATACCCTAAAATATGTTTATTGTTACTCATTTTTAGGATTTTTTTCATCTGGTTTACATACAATTCATCTTGATACAATTAATTTAAATTCAGCTGCAGATTTTGACTACTTTTTATGGGTACTCAAAAATCTGCTATATGATAAAAGCATCTGTGTTAAATATACTTTGGATTTTATCTCAAAACTGGCAGGTGCATCAAAACAACAACAACAACAACGACAGCACTGTTTTGCCTACAGTGTCTCAAAATAAAATTGAAAATCATAAACAGTATCCCTCTACTCTCAGTAAGTTGAAGCTGAATCTTTTTTTGTGCTTGTGATGGGTTATGGGTCAGATTATTTGTGGATTATTAAGCTGTGTGTAGGAGTGCTGGTGTTTTCCAGACTGTGGGGGAGAGAGGCGTGTTTCCATCTGTTGGGAGGGGATGAAATTACAGCCCGTCTCTGATGAGAGGAGGACAAACCACAGAGCAAAGACAGCTGTGTGTGTGTGTGTGTTCATCAATACAAGCCAAAACAGCACTGCCAGGAGCTCCGCTTCACACACACACTTTACCCTTTTACTTCTGGAAGACCCCTAATACCTCTCTCTCTCTTTCTCTCTTACATGTGCATATATATATATATATATATATATATATATATATATATATATATATATATATATATATATATATATATATATATATATATATATAATTATTATTATTATTATTAAGAAATAATGTATACATCTTTTTTATTCTTAGAAAATAAATTACTTATTTTTAAAATTTAATTTAATAATAATTTAAATAATAATAATTATGATAGCAATTTTATGTAATAATCTACAATTATTTTAATTATAATAAACTATTTCATTTTCTTATCTCTTTCTTTCTCTCATATATATTTATTTAATAAATAATGTAAACATCTTTTAGTTTAGAATTTTATCTTTCATTTTACAATTTAAAACATAAAATACTACTTTTCAAAACTGAATTAATTAATACTTTGAATAATAATGATTATTATTGCATTTTATACATATTTATTTTATATATATTATATTATATTTTTCATTTCGTCCAGTTTTTCTTAGTTCTTTCTTTCATGCTTATTAATTAATAATATATATATATATATATTTTTTTTTTTTTTTTTAAAGAAATCATTTTTATTTTTTACTCTTAGAAAATAAAATTCTTCTTTTTTTAAAACTGAATTAAATATTTTGAATATTTATTATTGTAATTTTATACAATATTATTCAATTATTTTAATTATGATATTATATTACATCTTCTTTCTTATTTCTTTTTGTCTTTCTTCAATATTCATTCATTTGTTTGTTCATAAATTGTATAATGTATTTATTTTAATAAGTAATTTATAATTTTTTAAAGAGAGAATGTATTTATCCTATTTTTTTCTTATTTTTCAAAACTGAATTAAATAATCATTTGAATAATGATCATTATTATTATATAATATTATTCAATAATTTAAATTCTAATATTAAATATATATAATAATTTTTCCATTTTCTAAAGTTCAACTCAAACTCTGCCAGACACCATCAAGTGCCACCCAACTGTACTCCAGGTGTCTTTTAAATAGAAATATGTTGCACTATAGATATGAAATGCATTCTTTCATTCATTCATTTTCCTTAAGCTTGTCCCTTTATTTATCAGGGGTCGCCTCAACGGAATGAACCGCCAACTTATCCAGCATATGTTTTACACTGTGGATGCCCTTCCAGCTGCAATCCAGTACTGGGAAACATCCATAGACTCATTTATACACTACGGCCAATTTAGTTTATTCAAATAATCTATAGCGCATGTCTTTGGACTGTGGGGGAAACCGGAGCAACCGGCGGAGACCCGCACCGGCAAGGGGAGAACATGCAAACTCCACACAGAAACGCCAACTGACCCAGCCGGGGCTTGAATTAGCGGCCTTCTTGCTGTGAGGCGACAATGCTAACCACTGAGCCACCATGTGTCACCATATTAAATGCACTCTTTTATTATTATTATCGTTATTTAAACAGTATTAACTGCATTCATCTGAACCGACATTTAATTTCCCACAAATCTATCTGAGCATAAACACAGTACTGATTTCACAACAGCAAGCCTCGAGTTTTACAATTCGCCATATTCAAGCATGTTAAACGACAGTACAGTCACTGCTTCTTGAATACAATGAACAATGAAAATGAGGAAATGGCTGAACGCCGGCTATCACATCATCTAGTCGACATGAAAAGTAGCACACAATGGTGCGTAAGAGCCAATAAACAGTATGTGCTGCATTTTTATGGCAGAGAGTAAATCATGTCTCAATTCAACTTCTCTACGCTGCAAACACACACACACACACACACTCACACAGAGACACACAGAACCACAGACACACACAGAAACACACACAGAAACACACACTCACATAATGCCTACAGTGACTGTATTTTCCACCAGCGCCGAATGCAAATGTGAAATAGAAATGCATTTAGCTGAACCGTCTTGATCAACTCAACATGCAGATGCTTACTCTACTGAAATTTACTTCCACCCACATTTCAAAATCCTTGAAGATGGAAGATATGAGCCATATGATATCCTGCCGTCCCACCCTGATAACAGCTGAAGAGAATGAAATAGCATCTGAAAGATTAGCCATGTTTCACTATCAGGCCTGCGCAGCGTCATAAAATGTCTCCAGCGTGTGGAAAATGAAGGAAAATTATTTCACGAAACAAATCTCCAGCATCAACATATGATAAATGTATTACAATAAAGCAGACATTTAAAGAACAGATTATATTGTATTTTTAAAGTGCCCTAATATTGTTGAAGCCCTCTACAAGAGGTTTAATTACATTTAAAATCATAAAACTCTGAAAATTACCATTCGTTTGAATCAATTTAGGGCTTAAAATCCACATTTGCTGGACATTTTTAAATATTTTTGTTTTTATTTCCAACTGAAACTGAATGCTGAGTAGGGGGCAGGGCTTCCTTTTTGCCCATCATTCCCTCATAGAAAACTAACAGTAAGAGAGGCGTGGCTAGAAATATTTTGGATGAAGCTATCAAACTGACGTCACCAGAGAAGGACCGCCACTTCAAATGCAAATGGTCAGATTTCAATTGAAGGTTACCAAAACAAATAGTTTTTTTTTCAGTGGATTAACATGTACGGATTCATTGTTCAGCTAAATTATATCAACACATTATAACAAAACAAAACGTTTGATTTTACGTCAACTTTAAAGTCTGTAAGCCCCTCCCTTATATAAGCCAACTCTGTTCTGATTGGCTAGCTGGCCGAGTCTGTTTTGATTGGTCTGTGTCTATTCTGTGTCCGAAATGGGTGTGCCAGTACCAGTGTTTCAGAGAAGCGGGCAGGTGGGAATTATGCAAGCAAAACATTGGCAGCAGGCAAAATATTTGAACATTATGACTTGTAAAGGTGATTCAACACTTTCTACTGAGAGACTATTGATGTCACCTACTTATGCTACATCTTAAAAGCATGTACTTTTTTTGTGAAGGAAATATACAAACTTTTGTGTGTGGCAGAAAACTCACAGAACTTTTTTTTATTAGTGGTTATAGTTCTAACTGAATTCGCATCTTACACTCAATGTATTGTGGGAAATATTATAGGTTAGAGTACACAGATTTTCACATCAAATTGCCACTGGAAATAGGAGACAATCCGTGTAAAGGTCTTTGCACAGTGAGTCTTAAATATTTGTATGTTTTTTTTTTGTTTGTATTTATTATCATACAGATATTTCTGATGCATATTACTGAATCCAAATCAGTGAAGGAAAAAAAAACTTTAGCAAAAAACAATACAAAAATTGTTCAATAAAAGAAAAAACAGCTAAGAAATATTGTGTCTATTGAAATATATTGATTCTGAAAAAATATATAAATGTGATTGACAACGTGAGGTTTAATTAATTTATTTTTTATTAAAAAATTAAAAAATGTAAAAATTTCGAACTTAATGTGCAATGAACTTAACTTTGGAATACTCATTTCAGCATACTATAATTTGGGGAAACACTTGCAAATTAAGCTAATAGCTAAAACGCAGCAAATATCTTTATTTATTTTGCATTTTTGTTATGAACAGCTTTGGAGACTGTTTAAATGAAAGGACAGCTACACAAAATAGTTTTTGAAAACCCAAACAACCTGCTCTTTGATCATTTGTGTCAGTAGTGCACCTCGAATAAACAATGTTCAGACAAAAGATGGAAAACACATACTTGTTTGGTCGCTACTACCTGTGATTTGCCATCATGTCTACTATCCACGTTCTAAAAAATGCTGGGTTGTGGCAAATATGGCCAAACTTTTAAAACGTTTAAATTAAATTAAACCGAAAAAATTTATCCAACATTGGGTTTGTTCCTATTTACAAAACCCAAACAATTTTTCAGAGTGCATTAAGGATTTTTAGTTCAAAAATATTAAGGGATTCTTATCTAAACTTCTATGCTTATTCTGTTATAAGCATTTCTGTTCCCCATCTAGCAATCTGAGGAAGTCTGAACAAACTTACTATACTTTTATCTTACAATATATACTGATATCTTTCAGTCAAAACAACAAAAGGAACTCAGAAATGCATGCATTAAATGAGTAATCTGGAGTTTATATATCCAATCATTGTGTTGATACAGAAGTCTGATATCAACAATGGAACAGGGAAGAGAGAGGTGAAATACAAGGCCAAATAAATACACGATTGCAAACAGTGATCAGTTTTTCAATTTGTCTCTTATCTGGTATCATAAGCATAACTTATTATGTACTTATTATGCTAATGTTAAGCATAAGTAGCCTTAAGCATTGTATACTGTATTACATATCTCAAATGTTGATCAGAATCCACATCAAATCATAATCTGTAATTATTATTTTATAAGCTTGCTGTTCTCTAAAAGTGCATATTTAGGACTGTACTCCTTTTACATGTCTTAAATGTCGTTAGCTAGCATTTAGCATTGCATGCTTTAGGCCCAACAGTGTAAACATGGTTATCATGTCATCATTCTCCACCTTGATGAAATAAGTCACCACCACACACATGTAAAATTGAGCAGACTTATTTATTGATTAAAAGAAGCTTTTAAAAAAAGAGGTTAGCATAAAAATATGAGAGCACAGTGTTAAGGCTTTACAGATTTGTTGAGGCACAATCATGATTAAAGATTAAAGGCAACCAGACTTTATGTTGTGTCTCTGCGGTCCATCAGCTAAAAGTATGACATATCTGTATTATCTGCAAAAAGAGAACACAAAAATAGCATTTCTGGCGTAAGCATGCTGTTTGCTTTTCTCAGGCAAGCCCATCTTTCTGCCGTTAACATATTAATTGAGTTGCAAACAATTGACTGTTAACATTGTCTGTGTACAGTAATTTTTTTTCAAGGTTAAGATACCTGCTATTAACATCAATATATATATATATATATATATATATATATATATATATATATATATATATAGTTGAAGCCAGAATTATTAGCCCCCCTTTGATTTTTTAATTTGATTTTTCCTTTAGATTTTTCCTTTTTTAATTTTTTCTACAAATGGTGTTTAACAAAGCAAAGAAATTTTCATAGTAAGTCTGATGAAATTTATTATTCAGGAGAAAGTCTTTTGTTTTATTTCGGTAATAAATAAAAGCAGCTTTTAATTAAAAAAAAATAATTTAAGGTAAAAATTATTAGCAATTACTCTAACCTGCCTAGTTAACCTAATTAACCTAGTTAAGCCTTTAAATGTCACTTTAAACTGTATAGAAGTCTCTTGAAAAATATCGAGTCAAATATTATTTCATTCATCATGACAAAGATAAAACAGATCAGTTATTAGAGATGAGTTATTAAAACTATTATGTTTAGAAATGTGTTGAAAATCTTCACTCCGTTAAACAAAAATTGAGGAAAAAAATAAACAGGGGGGCTAATAAATCCGTTCTGTATATCTGTAAAACTGTATATCTAATCCATTGTCAACACTGTTCATTTTGTTAGTAGTGCAACATTAGCACAAGATAATTTTAGTGCAAAATAAATGCAGTCAACACATTGATCATGATCTTGCTCTTTTAAACATAATTTGGGAAATATTAAAAAAGAAACAAATTTTTTTTAAAAATAATTTTATAATAATATACCCCTGATAAATTAATAATTAATAATTCTAACTTCAACTGTATATAGAAAATTCAGTTGTATATGTAAAATTGGTAAACATTAAAATATGCAAAAATACATAATAGTAATAATAATATGTAAGCATGTGCTGTGTGCAAATAAGACAAAATGTAGTATATAAATCCATAATAATAATATGCACACTATCTAAAAATATTCCAATTAAATGTATTTAAATTAAATGTGAATTACAATATAGTATGCGCTAAAGCTTCTGTTTTTTTATGACCAAAAACTGTAATGTTAATTTATTATTTTCAATTTTTCATTTTCATTAATTAATTTAATTATTCTATTTTCTTTAGATTTCTAAATATTACACACACACACACACACACACACACACACATATATATATATATATATATATATATATATATATATATATATATATATATATATATATATATATATATATATAAATATATATATATTTTTTATTTTTTTTATTTTAGGCCTTGTAATTATTTTGCAATATATTATTATATTATTATTTTATATCAATTATCATTTTATAATTAATAATATCTCCATAGACTACCTAAAATATTATAAACACTTTTTTAAAACATTCATTTTTTTCAGTTAATGTGATTTTATTTCTAGTAGCACAGATTATTGCAGTTATATGTTTTTAGTTTGACCTATATCTTCCAAATGAACAGATTTACAATTCTTGAAAAAAGAATTTAAAAAATCAGATGTGTTCATTAATAAATAATAAAAATGTGTAAAAGTTGAATCTTATATCTAAAATGCAGGTTTTCCTTTAACACAGCTGTCATATTATAGTGGGTGTAATAACTCATTCCATTCAGTCTTCCATAAATGCTTTGTCTTCTTATACTCTATTTGATGCGCTCAACTTGCAGTCAGATCAACCGAGACGGATGTTAACAGCAGGTAAAAAAAAAAAAAAAAGCCCACAAATTTCATCTCTTTGCCAAAAATTGACCGTCTGTGTCAGAAAATAGAGTCTTGTTTTTCTAAATGACTGCATGTTCTTATTAAACATACTATCAGTCTATATCTATACTGCTAGAGGAACTTAATGACCCGTTTGCGAGTATAGTTGAAATGGTGCTGCTAAATGATAACCCTGCTCCGACACAGACAGCGACAAATTGGCTTTTATGCTTCAGTGTTCATTTAGACTCTATTAATAGTGATCCGCATAATTAACACTAATTTATTACAGCTTCTGCGGCTGGCGAATGTGTATGTGGCGTTACTAATCAGATTTATCCGAGCCAAATCATGCTATCTGCTTTTAATTAAAGTGTGGTGTTGGAGAGCAAACAGCAGGAAGCGCTAGTCTACGGATGAGAGATGTATGCTAGTGGGATCTTACCGTCCGGCTCCGAGTCGCTGTCGGCGAGGGCAGGGATGCGCACCAGGATTTGCCGATGGTCTCTCTGGACCACAAGCTGAAGTTTGCCTCGGGATTTCTCGATCAGTTTGCCAGCGTCACTCAGAGAGAGGTTTTCCGTCACCGTCCCGTTGATCTGGAACAAAACGAAGATGCATCAATTTTGGTTTGAGTGAACCACAAAAGTTTTGATTGATATTATACTGGATTTGGGTGAAAAGTTAATGGACATAGAGTTGAAGTGAAAAATTACTAGCCCTTCTGTGATTTATTATTTCCAAATATTTCTTAAATGATGTTTAACAGAGAAAATGTTTTTTTCACAGTATTTGTACAGTATTTATCTATGATATTAATTCTTTAATTTTTTATGTTATTAGCCTTCATAAGCTATATATTTTTTTGATTGTCTACAGAACAAACTATCGTTATACAATAACTTGTCTAATTACCCTAAGCTGCCTAGTAAACCCAATTAAGCCTTTAAATTCCCCTTTAAGATGAATCTTGAAAACATCTAGTCAAATATGTGCTGTCATCATGGCAAAGATAAAAGAAATCAGTTATTAGAAATAAGTTATTAAAACTATTATGTTTATAAATGTGTTGAAAAAAATCTACTTTCTGTTCAACAGAAATTGGAGGGAAGATGTACAGGTTCTAATAATTAAGGCGGTCTAATAAGTCTGACTTATGTACTATATATTATATATATGTGGTTGGCAAGGCTGGAAAATCTGCAGATATTTTCCATTATTTGAACAAAAATTACATTGATTACTTTCTTACTTGATATTGTCATCTTTTAATTTCAATTCATATTTAATTTTAGCTTTAGTTATTTTTATGCACAAATGCAACTGTTACATATTTGATAAAATGCAAATTGTTTATAACAAAAAAAAATTCACATTTAATACATTCATTTATTTTCTTTTTGTCCCTTTATTAATCAGGGTATCCAAAGCGGAATGAACCGCCAACTTATTCCAGCTGCAACCCAACACTGGAAAACACCCGTACACTCTTGCATTCACAAACATACACTACGGCCAATTTAGCTAATTCAATTCACCTATAGCGCATGTCTTTGGACTGTGGGGGAAACCAGAGCACCCGGAGGAAACCCACACCAACACGGGGAGAACATGCAAACTACACATAGAAATGCTAAATGACCCAGTCGGGGCTCGAACCAGCGACCTTCTTGTTGAGGCAATTGTGCTGCAAACTGCACCACCGTGATACCCGTACATCTAATACAACTTCTATATAAATATGTAAATATTTTGGTTTTGCATTATTTTGGTATTTAATACATTTATATAGACACACACACACACACACAACCTTACACACACAAACAAACAAACAAACACACAGACACACACACACAGACGCACACACACATTCACTCACAAACACACATACACGCGTGCACACGCGCGCACACGCGCACGCACACACACACACACACACACACACACACACACACACACACACACATTATGTAAATACAAATTGTTTTCATTCAATTAATTCACGACAACACGATTCAATTAATTGTGAATAAGGTTTGACGGCACTAATCTACACACATTTTACATATGGGTGTAATGAAACATCATAATATCAAGATACTAATATAAAAATGAGACTATGCATATCGCAGATGTAAAAGATATGATTTGCAATATCGTGCTTGTTTGACTCGATCACACGATTTCAGACTCAAATGGAATCGGAAGTTACCCCTTAAACAAGACTCGAATATATATATATATATATATATATATATATATATATATATATACTCATCATTTTTTACACATCTCTAGTTGTGCATTGGCACAGAGTTAGACCTCTTTCTTGACTTTACACAGAAACAGCAACTCCTGCGGCATGTCATAACTTGCATTGACGCTATTGGTTAAATGCCGGCAAAGTAGAACACAGATGCAGCTTGAAGCAGAAAGCCTGAGTATGTCTGCGGCCTGGATGTATTATAAAGTTGATGACAACAAAATTGCCTGCAGGGTATTTTAAGTGGAGGTGTTATTTGTTTTTGTATTAGATTTTTTATATTTACTGTTGCACTAAAGTTCAAAAGTGAAGAATTCATGTTATTTATTACTTGATTGTTCAAGCTACCTCACAGAAGTTCTCTGTTTGTAAACAGAGTTGTTGAATGTTAAAACAAGGGGGATTAAATACAAAATAAAAGAACATCCTGGATCTTTTTCTTTGCTCTTCTTTATTTTTTTTTTATGTATTATAGAAGTATCGGATCAGGTTTCGGTATCGGTAGGTACTCAAAACACTCAAGGGTACTCAAGGGCAAAAAAGCCTGATCGGGATATAATATACAGTATATATAGTATAATTCACCTGTAATTTAACATTTTTTCACTTAGCACTTCAAATAAAACCTGTCTTATTTCTTTTTTGTTCAAAAAAGTTTTAATCTTAGAGTTGTTATTTAATATTTGCATGTTACTCTAATAAAATGTGAATACCCATTATGTGTTTTTGTAAAGTTAATTCAGTTCCATATAACAGTTTTAGTCATTTCTACGTAAAATATTTCGTTGTACTATTTTAGCACTTTAAATAAAACCTATTTTAGTTAGTTGCCAAGGCAACATTTCTTAATTCTTTTTTTTTAAATGAAAATAAGCATTTGAGTTATACATTTTTCATTTTTATTTAAACTCCAACAAGCTGCAAATATTATCATTTTCAACTACTAGTCAAAACGTTTAAATCAGCAAATTTATGATTTGTTTATTGAATTATTTTTTATGATATATTTAACACGTGAATGTCACTTTGTTGTGTGAAGAGTCTGATGAGTACCTTGAGAATGATATCGCCCTCCTGGAGATTTCCATCTCGGGCAGCAAGTCCAGTGCTGGTCATCTCTTTGATGAAGATCTGGCTGCCCAGGCGGAGGCCGTACTCTACAACAAACCAGAAGCAAACATTACATGTAGCTTTTGAAGCTCAATAAACCCAAAGGTATAGTGCACTCAAAAATGAAAATTCTATAATTGTTTACTCTCCTTTGAATTGTTCAATTTTTTTTTTTTTGGAAACTGGTAACCATTGACTCCTATAGTATTTCCTTTTCCTACTATGGACGTCAATTTTACGGGTTTAAAATATTTTTTTTGTGTTTAACACACACAAAAAAAGTGTTGTCCCAAATGGCATACTAAAGTTTTTTTTTACTGAGCGGAAATTCAAACCGTTTCCCTAATGACGTTTGACGGTTGCCAAATCAGTGAAATAAACGACCGAATTATGAAATAATACCTGCCGTGAGTTTAACCGCATTCACCATCGGGAGGTGCTATAATCACTCTAGTAGGAGAATTTTGCTTTCACCATCCAAAATAAATAAAGTTATCCAACATGAGCGCCCGATAGCTCCGCCCCTTCCGCTATGTAAGCAAACCTGCGGTCATTGAGTGCGTGAAGTGTCCATCATTACACACTTCATTTTTCCGGCTGAATGAGTGCATCATCCGGGTAATTAAAGTGCTCTTATTATTTTTAGAGTTTTCAGTGTGAACACACTACTTACCCTATTTATACTACAAAATGGCGTAAAATAGTACATAAGTATGCGATTTGGGACCCAGCTTTAGTCTTAAAGTAATCTTTATACTAATGTGCTTCAAAACCATGCCAAAATGTGTCTGTAGAACATTTGAGCATTTAAAATGATTGATTTTCAGCATCTACATAATATTTGTATCTGCTGCAGTCACGGTTCAGCAACAAAGTTGTTTGAATATATATGCTGGAATGAGAGTGTAGTTTCAAGCCATATCAGCCTAGAAAATAGCAACCCTTTCATTTTTTCTGTTGGTCTTAACACATGATGTAACTACAGAAGAGTCAAGCTTTAAAAAAAATAATAAAAATCTAAACTCTTTGTTCATTTTTGAACAGTGAGATGCTAATGGTCTAATCCGATTCAATAATCTATGCTAAGCTTAGCTAAATGTACTCCTGCCACACCCAGAGATCGGCTGAATATTTCTGAAAATGGCCAAAAACTGTTTAACTGTAGGTGGGATGTTAAATTAGCCTATTTCCAAAAAAAATTGGAGTGTTCCTGTACCAACCATGATGACCTTGACCCTTTTAAGCACACAGAAATGTTTTCAGCTGTCAGTTTAGTAGCTCTCTGACCAAGTCGAACACCACAAACAATCTAATCGAAGTGAAAATGTGCATCATTGATCTGACAGCCACAATCAGAGCTCTCTCTGAATGCTCAAGAACAGCTAAATCAATCGAATGTAAAGGAAATGGAAAAAAAAAAAACTGTTTCTCATCCCTAGGCAAGTATCTGATAATGAACAACACGACCTGTTTTGCCTTTCTGGGCTGTAGGTTATGAGGGGCTGGTGAGGAGTTGGGAAGAGATGGGCCGCTTTGTGCAAAATCACAAGACAGCATCTCCTTTGAAATCTCCTGACAGGGCCGTCATAAATAAATCAGATTAAAATATCAACAAAATCCAGTTAGGACAAACGGTTTTAGGGATGTGTGGGGGTTCAAAGAGAACAGACTGAAATAAAGAGGATTTCAAAAGTGCAGAGAGACGCAGCTGCTCTCTTCACACTGCTTTTTTTGTTTTGTTTTTATGTATTTCTAACATCATCTGACCTAATCTCTGCCGCAGGAGTAAAGACTGCACCTGTGAAGCGCTCATATCATGTCATATTTTACACTTCTGAGATTAAACCAATGGAAACGATGTTCTATATTTCACACAGTATAGTGTCAGTGTATAGACACGTGTTAACATCAGCCAAACACTATGTGCTTTTGAAAAATTCTTCTAAAAGATGGCAACATCAAATAGTTGATGTCTATTTTTAGGTTCTTGATCGCAGAAAGTGATTTGATAATTTAGGACAGAGTAACAAAAACGAAACTATTTAAAAGTCTGGGTTGATATACAGTCACTTAAGCTCACCAAATATGAACTGATTTGATCTGAAATGGAGTAAAGGTTGTGAGATGGAATTACAACTTAAAATAACTTCATCCTAATCTTTTTTTTAATATAGCAAAATGTAGATGTCAATTCCTGTGACATCAACACTGAATTTGAAGCACAATTTCTCTATTTTGCAGTGTTACCTAATCCTTTAGAAATCTTTCTAATTTGCTGCTCAAGAAAGAGTTTGTTCATATCAAAGAATTTTTGTGCAAACTGTTTCTTTATAATTTGACAAACAGAACTCTTACATTTGAAAGGGGCTAAGAAAGCAGTTGATGCGATAGAGATGTGTTTGCACAAATTCAGGCGTTTACCAGCATCTTGTTGAGAGATGAGGTGATTAAAGTAATAATATCATGAAACAGACTATGTATAAACTATATGTAGACTATGTATAAATATAACTGCCACTGTGAGACTGTAGTCTTTGAAATTATGATTGTTTTTTTTTTAATAGCATATTGTCATTACTGTACAGAACAACTGTTATACAGAACATTTCTTCATTTTCTTTTTGGCTATGTCCCTTTATAAATCTGGGGTCGCCACAGCGGAATGAACTGCCAACCTATCCAGCACATGTTTTACACAGCGGATGCCCTTCCAGCTGCAACCCATCACAGGGAAACTTATACAGAACAATATATAAATGTTTAATTAATGTGACAAAAAAACAGAAGGGAGGCTCTTGGTAGAACCTTTAGATTTTAAGGCAAAAATGTCATTCAATTATATTCATTTGAGTACATTTGAATTATGATTACATAAAAACCCCCTTTAACAGGCTTTCATTGAAAATCTACAGTAAGAACCCCCATGAATATGAGATGGTTTATCCCAAGGGGCTATCCTATTCAATAAGTTCAAATTCAAGTTTAGGAAGGTTTTGGTTTTACGTTACAACCGATTCACACATTTCAACAAAAAAGTGACTAATTTATGACATTTCTTTAATAAAGGCCCTTTAAATTTTACTATTCAACTGTCCAATTCATTTGATATAAAGCTTATTTATATGAGAAAACATGAACTTGCAGCAACTTTATGGAGATGTTTGCTATAAACATTGATCCAACATTGCTTTTTCATTTAGCATTGCCTGTACATTTTAAAATAGTTACTGAAAGTGAGCTATCAAGAACATCTTTACCCTTGACCAGCTCAAGCCAGATCTACTTTAGAGCAAGAAACCACCCGAGTGAAAAAAAAAAACCTTTATGAAAATCAGGAATAAAAGATAAAAGTATGAAAAAAAAAATAAAGTAGTGCTGCACAATTTATATCGTTTCAGTACTGATATCGCAATGTGTGCATCCACAATATTTACATCGCTGGATCTGCAATGTCGAATCATGATATAGTCAATTAGGAGCCACAGTTAAATCAAAATTCAACCATAAAGTTACTAAAACAGTGTATGTTTATGTGTTTTAAGGCCTGTGAATGTGTAAGCCTGTTAAAGCATTCATGCACAAGAAATTGACATATTTGTAATTTTAAGAAAGATTAATTGTATTTATGTGTCTAACGTTGCTTTACTGTATTTATCAATGCATGTGAAGGGTTAATTACATTTTATGCAGAATAGCAAAAGTGGAAAAACTACAAAGTCATCCTATTCTATCTAAAATTATTAATTCTTTGCAAATTGAGCTATTCAACTCATCTGGGTAAATTATACTCAATATCGCAATATGTACTGCAGAAAAGTAAAATACTGCAATGTCAATATTTTCCCAATATCATGCAGATCTAGAATTAAGCACATTTAAAATGATCATAATGAGACACCTTTATTATTTAAGTCATCTTCAGTAAAACCAACATCTATTTAGACCCACTTAAACATTTCAGCCTTCATAGCAATATGTTCACTACTGTTTTGTAAATGTTAATTGTGTCAGAACAAAATCAACAAAAAAACTCCTACTGCTGTATGACGATCTTTACACAACTATCAATATTAAAATAAAATAAATACAAAAAAAACCTCTACATTTGTAATTATTTTATATTTTATTTAAAAGTTTAAATGTCATTCCTCAATGAAAGCCTGTAGTTTCTGCTGACCAACAGATTCATCAAACGTGAACTTCCATATTTCCCATACTTCATCATATACAGTTGAAGTCAGAATTATTAACCATCCTGAATTATTAGCTCCCCTGTATATTTTTCCCCAGTTTCGGTTTAACGGAGAGAACATTTTCAACACATTTTTAAACATAATGGTTTTAATAACTATACAATTTCTAATTTTTTATTGATATTTTAATATATATATAAAGATACTGGTATTGAGCTTAAAGTGACATTAAAGACTTAACTAGACTTAACCATAAAAAAATACTGCTCAAGGGAGATAATAACATTGACCTAAAAATGTTTTTTTCTAAATGTAAAACTGCTTCGATTCTAGCCAAAATATAACAAATAAGACTTTCTACAGAAGAAAAAATATTATATAATAATAATAAATAATATAATAATATTATATTATTCATTTAATAATAATAATAATAACAATAATAATTATTATAAATAATATAATAATAATAATAATAATAATTATTATTATTATTATTAATAATAATAATACTTATAATAATAATAATAATAATAATTATTATTATTATTATTATTATTGCTCTCTTAAACACGATTTGGAATATATTTGGAAAAAGAAAAAAATGAAGAGAAGGGCCAATCATTTTGACTTCAACTGTAGCTTCTTAATTTCCTGCTGGTTTTCGGTCGAATTTATGAAGAAAGTTTTAGCAAAACTAGTAAAATAAACTTGATCTAAGGTCTGAATAATATTCAGTTTGACTGCACCTTTAATCCATTCAAAACATGCTATTAAAGACAATCCAATCCCGCAGTCTCACCTTCATTGGGCCTGTTTTTGACCAGCGTCACATTGACGGGTGGCTCCAGGGGCTCATAGTTAAACCGGTCTCTTCCCCTGTCCCGCTCTCTGCTGGGCGAGGGCGAGTGATCCTGCAACCGGTCCCTGCTGTGACTCCTGATCATCCTGTCCTGCGTGTCATACCTCCGCGTGTCGTAGCCCTGGTCCCGGCTATAGCTTCCAGCAGGGCTTCCTCCACCGCGGCCTCTGCTGTGCTGCCGTTGATATCGAGGCTCCGGGCTAGACCCGCGCTCCAGCGTCCGGCCCCTGCTGCCGTCCCTCCGGTACCCACTGTCAGTGCTGGGGGATCTATCCGTGCTCCTGCCTCGGCTTCGCTCGCGCCGGGAGTCATAGTCCTGGCTGCGGTAATCCGGATCTAGGTAGTCTATCCGGCTCTTATCGAGGCTGCGGTCACGCTCTCGGTCACGGGGGTAGCCCAGACCGCCGTTTCCCCGAGGGTAATCTGAGTCTGGGTCACTGTGCACACTGCGGCTGTCCTCAGGATAATAACTGGAAATGTTGTAATCACGGCTATCCCCGCTCGGGGACGGCGGGCGCTTGAGGACAGCCACCTTGCGAGGCCTTTTTACAGTCTGTGGAGAGAAAAGGAGTTTTCGTTACAATCAGACAGTCCTTTTCAAGGGCGTAGATGAGCTTTTGACATTGGTGGGGAAATACATTCCAAGAGCGCATGCATTGAACAGTACAAATTTAGTTTTGGGCTTTTAAAAACATGAATAAAGTACTTAATAATATAAAATAAACACTTAATAATACAAATAACAATCACATCCCATGCTTCAAAAGTCCATTTACTCGATTTTACTGCAGTCGGGCTTTGAGGAGGTATGAATGTAGAGAAATTGGAGAGGTGTGTGACGCAATTTAACTGTTTTATCCCGATTATTGTTTTTCATATTCATGGAGAAAGGGAATTTGGATTAATTGCACAGTCTTGGTTAATAGTATTATGGTGAACTTGTAGCGATCTTGACTTTGTGCATGTGTAGCTTAATAAGGGTTGACGGAGCATTACTTTCTTTTAAAGTTGATTAAAGTATTAGTAGGGACATTTCAGTAGTTGGTGGATTTTGGTGAAGGCATGTCTCCTCTGTCCATTCCAATTCTACACCCTTGGTTCTTTTATTATAATATATGGACTTTAAGACTGACAGCACAGCATTTAAACAGCATGTGAATGCTTTAGACTGTTTTTTTCTGAGGAAACCTACAGTAGATCATTTTGCGATTGAACCTCTATGGCAGAGATCACCAAACTTGTTCCTAGAGGTCCGGTGTCCTGCAGATTTTAGCTCCAACCCTAATCAAACACACCAGAACAAGCTAATCGAGGTCTTACTAGGTATACTTGAAACAACCAGGCGGGTGTGTTGAGGCAAGTTGGAGCTAAACCCTGCAGGGTACCGGACCTCTAGGATGATGATTGGTGATGACTATGATGACTTTGTTTTATAAACAATTTATTGAATCTAATTGAATCTTTCTGCAGTGAGTGTGAGTGGATGTTTTCCAGAGATGGATTGCCGCAGGAAGGGCATCCGCTGTGTAAAAAGGTGCTGGATAAATTGGTGATTTATTCCGCTGTGGCGATCCCGGATTAATAAAGGGACTAAGCCGACAAGAAAATGAATGAATAAATGGATCTTTCTGCATTGTAGCTTGCTATAGTAATCTGAGTCTGTCAAATAAGAACAGGTTGAGTAGCCTATTAAAGGTGGCAGGCAAGATCCTCAGTTTTAGCCAAACTGGTCTAATCGTAATTTACTGTAATTATGTTTAAAAAAGAGCTTAGGTTATCTTATGCATCCAGGATAACCCATTGTATTCTGTGTTTCAGCTGCTGCCATCAGGACATTGTTTTAGAATTCCTATATGCAGGACAAACAGAATTATTAATTCTGTTATTATGGTGGCCATTAGTTCAATAAATGAGACCAATGGGCAGGGAGATGCATCTAAAAATGATGTACTGTATGTTTTGTGGTAATAATTTAATAATGTACTTTGCCTGTGTTATAGCGCCTTGCTGCAATTTTAGATTCCTTAAACGACATACTTAAGTTGGATCTAAGTCTTTCGGTTGGAATTAAAGCAGTTTTAAATTTTTTTAAAACCATTTAAGGTCAATATTATTAGCCCCTTGCAATATTTTTTTCGATCGTCTCCAGAACAAACCATCAATAGACAATGATTTGCCTAATTACCCTAACTTGCCTAATTACCCTAGTTAAGCATTTAAATGATATACAGGGGGGCTAATAATTCTAACATAACAAGAATAAGCTTATTTAGCTCATACGTATACAGTTTATCTAAAATTTAATATATATAGCAGTAAATACAGAAAATAAATTTAATTTTTAAAAATAATTTAACATATGTGTCATGTATTAGTATGACTATATAAAATATATTTAATTATTACACACTATATTATAACATTACACACGATAATTTTTAATTTAACATTAATTTTTAAGGGCAACATTCAATTTATACATAATATTCATCAATAATCAATGGTTTTTCAGTATCATTTACACTATTGTAGTTTTTTTATATTTTGAATCAGCTTTTTATAATTTGTTTTTAATTTTGTGCTTGGTTATTTTAATGAGTATTTTAAGTAAAATGTGCTAAAGCTTTATTTTTATTTCAGTTTTAGTAGTTTTAGTAACTTTCTAACTAGTAAATTTAGTAGTAATACAAAATAAATATTCAGTTGGCAATTTCAGTTAGTTGTTTAAGCAAAAATTTAAAAAATAGTTGTCATTTTTCAATATTTTTATTTGCTTTAATCCATTTAATCTACATTTTATTCATGCATTCATTCATTTTCCTTTGGCTTAGTTCCTTTATTCATTAGGGGTCACCAGAGAGGAATGAACCGGCAACTTATCAAGCATATGTTTTACACAGCGAATGCCCTTCCAGCTGCAACCCTAGTACTGGGAAACATCCATAAACACTCATTCACACACATACACTATGGCCAATTTACATTATTCAATTCACCTATAGCACATGTCTTTGGAATGTGGGGGAAACCGGAGCACCCGGAGGAAACCCACGCCAACACAGGGAGAACATGCAAACTCTACTCAGAAATGAAAAAACTGACCCAGCCTGATTTAAACCAGCAGCAACCTTCATGCTGTGAGGCGACAGTGCTAACCGCTGAGCCACCGTGTTGCCCATCTACATATTATTTCAATATTAGTTCAACTAATAAAACATTTACTTGAAATCTGCACATCTGACATGAATGGATTGACTTAAAAATAGCCTTAAAGAAATTCCCTGCAGGCAAACACAGACACCGCTAACCCATTCTAATATCCAAAGTAGGTAAACTTGTTCTAGAAGGCCTCTCATAAAGGTCAACTTGACAAATACTCACTATTTTGGCCACTTTCCCACATTTCCGAAGTGACTGCACAGCGAAAGAATGAGGCACATTATTCATGGCGATGGTGTTGACCTGTATCACACGGTCGTTCTCACTGTTCACAAAAAAACACAAAATAAAATGTAAAGTTAAAACAAAGTTATACATGTTATGTTTATTATTAGCACTTTACAATTCTATATCATGTTAAAGTCAGTCACACGAGAACATTATTTCTTAGAAAATGAAAATGAATATGATTTGAAATATAAATATGAAATATCAATATGAAAACGATAGAAAATGAAAGAAATGTGCTCACCATTTACTTTACACCATTTCAAAGCTTTGTTGTGTCTTTCGTTTTAACATGAGATATGATATTTTAACTCTGTGTTATGCCAGTTTTTTTTTCCTTCTATGGATGTCAATGACGTTTGATGTCCTTCAGGGGGGAGCAAGTGTTAAGTAGGGGGGTCTGACCCCCCCCCAAACTCCCCTGTAATGTGCACCCTGCCTTTAAGGACAACAAAATAAGGCGCAAGAATTGAACTTTTTTAGCATAACAAAAAGACATGTCAACTAATCTTTTCATGCTACTTTAACTTAATTAAAGGGCACCTATGGTGAAAAATCTACTTTTTTAAGTTGTCTAGACAGACGTGTGTAAGTATAGTGTATAGACCGTCATATTGGGGTAATATAAAACACAACCAGTCCTTTTTTTTCAATTGAACAACATAAAAACGGTGGACCAATTGGAGCGGTTTTCAGACCGACCGCAACTTAACGTAGGAGTGCGGTCCCCCGCCCACCAATATTGATTGACAGGTGCGTGTCACCATATCCTCAGTTTGCCGTTTCACGTCTGCCATTTTCAGCGTGTGAGTAAAGCGATGTCACTAGAGGAACACCCTTGCTTTATTTTTAGATGCAAGGCTCATTGGGCTCAACACAAGATCAGCATTCGGTAGGTTTGCAAACGTGTACTTTTCATTGCGTCTACCTTAAACTTCAGCTGTTTGCATTTCTCGAGGTAACAGAAGCTCCCTGTGAGTGTGATCTTATATAGGTGCAGCTGTAAAGTGCGAGCGCCTTTGCCTCACGTGAGTGTCGCTTTGTTGCTGTGTGTGCGCGCAAATGAGAGAGAGACCTTTGTGCTGCTGTCTGTGTGTGTGTGTGTGTGTGTGTGTGTGTGTGTGTCTGTGAGAGAGAGAAAGAGAGAGAGAGAGAGAGAGAGGGAGGTGGGTGGTTTTCAGTTTTGTTCTCCCACCGCTCGTTAGCGGGAATGGGCGCGGCGGGTAGAAAACGGCGCAAGTCGGGTAGCGGGACAACAAATGCTGAATATAAGTGGGAGCGGTCTGATTTGGGCTAGAACATGGCGGGAATCAATATTTAGTCCCGCGCAGATCTCTCCCACAGAGTGCCACCTGAACATGCGTATGTCCGTATCTGGTGTGCTATGTCGCGGCTCTAAGCGGGTCATCTGGTGCCTCAGTCAAAGTTAATTCAGTGTGCGTGGTTATTAGTCTGTGTATAAGCTCAGCACTTTAAAATAGCACACAGTTGGCTGAGAAACTATACAAAGACACAAATGATTGTGAACTCTCTGCTTGGTCTGTGGCCGAGGCGTACATATACGGCTGAATGCTGCTCCTCTCATGCAGCGTCTGTCTGCCTGTTTGTTGCCAAACACAGGGCGAGCGAGCTCTTGGCTCCGCCTCCTTGAAACGTTGGGCAGGAATTTGAAACTAATTTTCATGTGAAGCCACACGCCCCTAAAACAGCAAACTGTGTACACGCCCCCAAAATAACACTTTTAAACACATTATAATAAAAACATCTGAACTGTGTGTTGAACTGAACCTAAACTGGCACACTCAGAAGAACCTTAATAGTAATATTAAATCATAAAAAAGGGGTAAACTATGAGCGCTTTAAACAAGTGAATCAGGTTTCAAGTAATTAGTTTGTACGTAGCTATACAAAGTTTAACAAAATATGTTGTGTCAGTTTGACCGATTTAAGTAGAGATGACTAGAAAAGTTAATTTGATTTAACTCAAAAAATTATGGAAGGAAGATTTTTTTTACAGTGTATGCATCTGCATGTTCAAATATTACTGTTTAGTATGTTGGCTTGATTAAATTAACAGAACGCACACAGTTTGTCAAGATACAACCTAATTACCACAACTGACATCACAACAACATGAACTAATAAAGCATGCAGGACATTTATTAGGCCAGTAAAGCAGTCCACTTTGATTTACCGCCATATTAAAGAGAACTAAGTGGAAAGTAAATATGCATAAACCTGCTTATGCTGCTGCAAAATAACAGTTTACCAAAACGCTAAAGACACGTAAGCATTAGTAAGGCAAGTGAACCGTACAAGAGCAGTCCATCGGCCGGTCCTCCTGGCAGCACGTCTGACACGATGATGGACGTCTCCCCGCTCTCCACGTTTGGATTGTCCCGGCCGCCGGACACAGCAATTCCAAAGCCCATCTTAGCGTCCTACGAGAGAAAGACACAGAGAAAAACACTTTGAGTGTGAAAGTATCCGCAAATGTATTTCTGCAGTCATGCATCACAGCCCGCGGCGGTGCAGTTTTAATATCGTTTCATGGGGACGTGCAAACAGCTAGAGGTGTTACACGATCACGTCGCTGCACTCAGATGATGAATCTTGCATAGACGTTGACCGCGTGGCAATTTTGCAGAAAGCCAAAGCTAATGGAGACAAGGTTCCAGCCCATTGCCTGGTTAAATAACAACCTGCTGTACCTGCCTCAGAGGAGCGCTGGATAAATGGAGTTTAATGAGTGGGTATCGCTGTCTTGATGCAATCTGCCGCTTATATATTCAGGGCCAATTAGAGCAGGAGATAAAACTGACAACAGCGAGTGAAACTGGGATTTCTCTCTCTCTCTCTCTCTCTCTCTCGCTCTTATCTTGGAGTGGCTTATCTGAACCAAATTAAAGCAAGGGGAACGTGAACACTTCAGATGTATGTGAATAGTATAATATAACATATGTGGAAGTCAAAAAAAGTTTGGAATAGGTTTCTGATGGACCGTTTTCTCATTTCCGGGTTTTCTCAGTAGAGGAAGTCATCATAGTTGGGTAAACATAGAGCGCAGAGAATCGGAGGGTAGACATGGGCCAGTATAAGATTCTGACGGTATGATAACCTTGGATAATAATATCACGGTATTAACAGATCTAAAATATATTTTATTTAAATTTCTGGGTAAGATAACTTTTCCTCCTTGAACACAATGGGCTCTAGTTTGACGGTCCATGCGCAGAGCGCAAAACGCAGGGCGCAAACGCTTTCAGGGCGTGTCAGGACGCGTTTTTGCTAATTTAAGGACGGGAAATCTGCCTTGTGCTTCGGCGCATGGTCTAAAAGGGTTGAGTTTATTTTCTTAATGAGTTATAGGTGTGTTTTAAGAATAAACCAATTAGAGTCTCATCTCCCATTCCCTTTAAGAGTCAGCTGTGTCGTGCCATAAGCGCATTCGCTATTTACAGGACGCAAAGTAAGTCTAAGTGGAAAAATTGAGCATTTCACAAGCAAACAGTTAACAGTTAACAGCTTTTTAACAGAAAACTGTTAAACAGAGCATCTACTGCATGAGAATGAGAGATAATGGATCACTTTCACTTTCGCTCTTGAATAGGGAAACCTTTACGCACAGACATTAATTAGCCTATAAATAAATACTTTTGTTTGTTAAGCGCAAATATTCCTTTCAAAACTATTTCTAAATTAAGTTTTAATTTCCAGCAAACGAATAAATGAATAATAATAGCAAAATGTGCTCAAAAACCTGAGTTATATCCTAAAACGCATGCTGTGCCCCATATGGTCTAAAACCTGACAGGTGGGCAAATCTAAGCTTGTTTTTAATAAAACAAATATAAATATGGATATAATAAATAATACTGCTAATAATAATAACATTATACAAAAGCAAATTGTTAAGAATGAACTGAAAAAGCCTCCCGAGATGAAGAAGACATAAAAGCAGTGGTTTTTCATATTTATGTAGGCTAGAAAATAACATGTTTTGTAATATTTTAATCCTTTATATTTATTTTCTATATCTATTCTTATTATATCCTATATATATCCTTAATATTTAATTTTTTTCATATGTAAAGATATTTGCCTATTGCTCTCTTGTGTGTATTAAGCAGTGCGTAAGCGAGGCGCAACTCTGCGCCGGAGTTTAGACCGGGTTAGTTTTGGTCTAATGAAAAATCTATTATAGTTTCTCAAAATAGCAACGCGCCAGCGGTCCGCCTCAGAACGCCTTCCTTTTTAGACCAGAACACCTATGGGCGCACAAATGAGTGCTAATGCATTTGCTATTTAAACAGCGTAGCGCAACGCCTCAAAACGACTCTTGCGCCAAGCTGAAACTACCAAAAGACTACTGCGCCGCTCCTTGTGCCACACTGCGCCGGGTGTATGATAGGGCCCAATATATTTCATTTTTAGAAACATTTTAAATATTTTGAACAGTAAACATGTCAGGCTAAATAATTCAAATGAATCATTGACTTCTGCTGTATTCATTAGTTTCAAAAACACAGATTTTATTACAATTTACAACAGCATGTTTGGGTATCTTTTCTGCCGTTAAAAAAAAAATAATAATAAAATAACTAGTCAAAGCGACTAGTCAAAGTTGAATCAACTTTGTTAACATAAAAGTTAACTTCCAAAAATCTAAAGTCGTTCAACCCCTAACATACAGTATATAACTGTATCATACAGAACATCTTTAAGACACAGAAGACACAAAATCGATTGTGAATGATTCGAAACTCTCAGAATCGATGCAGAACAGGTTTCTCACTTTTTTTTTGCAACAGCAACAAAAAGGAAATATTGTATTCAAATCCTTTATTTACAAAATTATCAGCTTTTTCCTAAATGTTTCCGTGTATCTCTTAAGATTTTTTTAAATAAGACTTGAAGTGCTAAAAACATAAGATGAGATGGACTAGGCAGGAACCAAAAGCTTCTATTATGCTGTGTTTAACTGTAAATAACAGTAGCGATACAGATCAAGATACGCTATATAAACTCAAACTAATTCCAAGTATCCCATTTTGTTTAACTTTCCAAAGCCTACATCTTCTCTTTTATGTAGCAGTGATAAGACAAGATTACTCATATCTGAACTAGGCGATCTGACATGTGGAAGTGCTGAGATGATTGCTCAGGATGAGTCTGATGTGGATAGAGATGGTGCTAAAAGAAGCTGTGTGTTTGGATGGTGTGTGCAAACCCTTGCTATCTGTCACGCGGGAGATAAAAGATGCACATCCTGTTGTGCTTGATGTTTGAAGAAAAAAGAATGGCAGGAAAGAAGAGAGGAGAGAAGAGGATGGGTAACTCGATCTGATAAGTTGAAGAGGGCAAATGATTTATGGACATAAGATGTTGGTGAAAATGATATTGTTTACATGCAGATTGTCATATGAAAAAATACAGAAGATCACAATAAATTGGGTTTACTAGGTCAGGGTATATACAGAACTTCTTAAGTTGAATTTAATACCTTTTACTGCCTTTTTTAATACCTTCAAAAAAATATTATACCAGCAAGACTGCAACTGTAGTGGCATAAATGAAATATCTTTCCAAATGGAATAACATATTGCAGGTAACATATACATTTAAGTAAAGCAGAGGGATTAATCATTTATTCATTCATTTATTTTCTTGTCGGCTTAGTCCCTTTAATAAGGGATGCCCTTCCAGCCGCAACCCATCTCTGGGGATAGAGGGAATCAAGATGATCCACTGAGCCTGGAACGGCGCAGCACGATTACAAACTGTTCTCGGCCCACAATTCTCGGCCCGGTTAGACAACCGTGCTTAACTGTGCCGATAGTGTTGACCTTGCGTCTCTGTTGCCAAGCTACCACCAGTGTTGCCAGATATAGCTGTCTAAAACCCACCCAAACACACAAAAAAGCCCCAAAATTTTGCTTAATATTTTATTTATTTTTTATTGCTTTAAATTGAAATGAATCTAGTTGCTTTAACTGTCATAATTGTTAACCACACAGCAACCAAAACCAGCAGTCACAAAACCACAACATAACCGGATCACATCGAAACACTGCCCTACTCTCGCCCACACACTGCACTACCTAATAGAGCAGTGGTTCTCAAACTGTGGTACGTGTACCACTAGTGGTACGCAGGCTTCCTTCTAGTGGTACGCGGAGGAATAAAATATGTCATGTATATGCTACATATTTCAAAATTTAGCAAAAATTATGTATATAATATGCCATATATGACATATAGCCTGTATTTCTGAGGTAATCTGCCACGTTTTTTTAACTGTGCAGAGTTGTAGCTGCTTTACTGGGCCTATACGCTACTTTATTTCAATACTGCTCATTTTGGTGGTACTTGGGGAGACAATTTTTTTCTGGGGTGGTACTTAATGAAAAAAATTCGAGAACCACTGTAATAGAGTATTCCCTCAGAGAATGATCACACAAACATGCTTATCTGGCTTTCAATGATGGAGGAACGGTCGTTTGAGTGCACAGAAGAGCGGAAAGTGTACAGAACATGGTTAGTCTACGTTTATTCATTCATTCATTTTCTTGTCGGCTTAGTCACTTTATTAATCCGGGGTCGCCACAGCGGAATGAACCGCCAACTTATCTAGCAAGTTTTTACGCAGCGGATGCCCTTCCAGCCCCAACCCATCTCTGGAAAACATCCACACACACATTCACCCACACACCCATACACTACGGACAATTTAGCCGACCCAATTCACCTGTAACGCATGTCTTTGGACTGTGGGGGAAACGGGAGAACATGCAAACTCCACACTGAAACCCCAACTGAGCCGAGGTTCAAACCAGCGACCTTCTTGCTGTGAGGCAACAGCACTTCCTACTGCGCCACTGCCTCGCCTATGTTGTTTATTTTATTTCAAAATAATGCTTTGAAATAAACAAATGTGACAGTTAAGACAGTTTGTAACAAACAAATAAATAAATCCTATTCATTTGACCTATTCATCGATAAATCATTAGAAAAAAAATGTAAAATACTGAGCAGCATAACCATTTTTACCATTGACAATAATATTAGCTAATACTTCTCGAGCAACTAAATCGGCATATTAAAACAAGAGTGACAATACTAAAAATTCAGCTTTGCCACAACAGGAATAAATGCCATTTTAAGATATTTAATTATAAATTTTCCTTTAGCTTAATCCCTTATTTATAAGGGTTACACAGCGGATGCCCTTCCACCCAGTACTTGGAAACAGCCATACACATTCGCATTCACACACTCATACACTATGTCCAATTTAGTTAATCCAATTCACCTATAGCGCATGTCTTTGGACTGTGGGGGAAACCAGAGCACCTGAAGGAAACCCACGCGAACACGAGTAGAACATGCAAACTCCACACAGATATGCCAACTGGCCCAACCGTGACTCAAACCAGCGATGTTCTTGCTGTGAGGCGACAGTGCTAACCACTAAGCCACCGTGCTGCCTATTTTAAGGTATACTTTAATAAAAAAACTGCAATAATATTCTACTTTATCATACAATTATTAAATACATTAATTACACAACTGCTAGACTGCCATTAAGAATGCCAAGCAAAACATGTGCAAGCCCAGTGAGCGTAATATAAAAGCACCAGTCTAAACAAGAAGCGTTTTCTTCTAAAACGCCATTTTAAAAAACAAAAAGTGCACTATTTTAAATGACACCTTAAACTCCTGTAGGCTCAAACACCAAATAAAGGCACATAGAAAACCAGCTGTTAGATGGTGTGTCATGTGAGTATTACAGTTCCCTTTTTATGATGAGAAAGATATCATGTGTACGAGTATCACAACACAGTCTGGTGTCACACCCTTGGGTGGGAACAGCTTAAAATTTAGGATGTTATCATGTGTACATTCCTGGAAGAAAACGCAGGAGCTACAATCAAGGGGTATGAGGGAGTTGAGAAACAGTGTTATATACTGAATAACTCCCTTAGGAGTGGCTTTGTGTGTCTTGCAACATTATATGTATCTTTTTCAAACTTAAACTCAAGCATTCCACATTTAAACAAAGCTGAAAGTGTAAAAAGCTTAAAAATTCTCTTTAAGGCAAACCATTTCACTTGGCGGCTATCTTTGAATCGCCTGTATGCTCGGGCATTCTGTTTGAAATGGGAAACATCAAATTCTCCATAATTGCTTGCCAAGCTTACGATTACATTTTATATTAGGAATCACCTATAAAATTAAACAACTCTTTAGTTTCAGCCTTCAAGTCACGTCTGGTCCGAGTCACTCCACCAGAGAATCGTTGGCCTATAGCGATCGCCAATTGACTCCTGTACTATAAGGCGGGACTTCATTCGCCATATTGAATGTTACACTTTTCCCCACTAAAAACCCCACGAGTGACACGTCTTGTGTATTCTATAGTCTTTGACTGTACCTCTTTAAATCTCTTGTGGTTGAGCTAACATGTTGGTTAGTTTGAAGTAAGGTAAGGTAAAAAAATTAATAATATAAAAAGTGTTACCCGCTGTAGAGTCACAGTGTACTGCTCCCAAACCGTCTCCTCCATTCCTGAGCTCTGCGTGGAAAAGAGAAAGAAAGCAGCATTAATCACCAGTCAGGCTTTGCTAATCCAGTTTGCTACACGGCGTGACATGTAGGGTTAAGTGTCCCTTAGACAAACTGATCCTAAATGAAGTGTCCCATTTCATAATAACATGGATGCACATTTAAATTAAAGGAACAATCCCAGTCAAGTACAACTTGATGACAACATCTGCGGCAATTACATTAAAACATGCATAATTAGCACTTCATCCAATTAGAATGATAGCCACAACACTTTGTTTCAATTCACAGTTTTTTAAAAGTCGTAATGATGCTCTGTTTTCATTTACTAAAACATACCAAAGACTCTATCCATACATTTTAAAGGTGAAGCATGCCTTTTTTAAATGACAAAATACTCCAGATTCATGTAATTATCATCAAAATATTGCTGTTTAATTCAGAATCCAGACCAGATTGTTCCAAAAAATGAGAATAAATAACATACACAGTACAGTAGGGATGTCCTGTTCAGGTTTTTACCCTAGAGTCTGAGTCATTTGACTTTAAGTATCTACCGATACCGAAACCCAATACAATACTACTATAATACATAAAAGCGAAGAAACAGATCCAGTATGTTCGTTATTTTTTATTTAATTCACTTTTATTTTTAAACATTCAACAACTCTGTTAACAAACAGAGCAGTTTTGTGAGGTAGCTTGAACAATCAAGTAATGAATAACATCAATTCTTCACTTTTGTACTTTAGTGCAACAGTAAATAAATATATTTAAAAATGGAATATAAAAACAAACAGCACCTCAACTAAAGTAAGTAACTTAAAATTACCCACAGGTATGTAACAAAAAGTAAAAGTGCCATAGTGTTTGCAAAGCCAGTAATATGCTTTTAAAAAATGCACTCCTAACTCTTACTGTCATCACAGTAGCAAGTTTTACAAAAAGAAATGTTTATCTTAATGAAAACTAACATATCTACCTTGTCAGGTTTGAGATGTTAGTGTTCTGTTCTCATTAAAAGTATTTGCAAAGGCACTAAAAAGTCTCTTAGGCCACGTTTACTCTAATACGCTTTAGTTTTGAAATGCAAGTTTTGCTACTGTTACGCCATCCGTCCACACTACCCAAGATTTTTTGAGAGCCGAAAACGGAGCTCTTTGAAAACGGTGGAGAGGCCATTTTTATTTTAAAACACTGCTGGGTGTTAGTGTGGATGGGGGGAAAACTGAGGGATCTAAAAAGGGATCTGATTGGGGCTTTTTCCTCAATAGTAAGTAGCCTACACAAAGAACAGCCTTTTTTGATTTTGATACCAGCAACTTAACAAGACACCAAAAATGTTGAGGCATCATGTAGCTACATATTTATATGAGTGTCATCTTCACTGTTTGCATATTTATAACAAAATGGAGCCTCGCATCACTGCCTCCTTTCATTTTCATTGAAAATATAAAACATATCCTCTCTTTTGCTAAATATAAGTTTTAATTATCAATAATGGCCATTTTAAAGTATAGAGTACAATAAGTTTATACATTATATAAAAATATATACACATACATATATTCGAGTACTGATCGGGAAGTCCGATTCCGATAGAGTCTGAAACCGCATGATTGGGCCCGATTTCTGATCACATGATTAGATCTGGACATACCAAATATACAGTATTTATTCATGTTTTCTGTTCTTTTTAAAGATTCATCCAAATGATTTGGGTCAGGAAGTTTTCTTTTATTATTATTGTTCTCATTTTTCTGTGCCAAATGACACGCTTCACCATTAAGTTGTACATCACCCGGTGTGTTCCTTTAAATGAGATTATGAAAAATGACTATAGGTCAGCAATTAATAAATGAAGACCCCACCTCCCCAGCTATTATGGTATCATCCAGAAATGCCTGTGTGAAGCCCCATTATTTGGTATGACCCATACGTCACTGAATCAAAATGAGGGTCTACCACAAACAGCGGGAGCAAGTGCATGAAGAATGGGCCTGTCACTTCCACAGCTCACTTTGGCAAAAACCTCATTTCAAATAATATTAGGTTCTTGAGGAATGTGAAGACTGAATCCAAGCTAACACACAGATCTATGAAAGCTAACGTCCTTAAACACACTGAGATTGCCTCTTAGGATGCATATGAACAAAATCACACACATAAACTCGCAGCTCAAAGGTGCGATTGTTCCAAAGAATGGACAGACATGCTCATGAGTATTGATGATTAACTAAGAAGAAGTCGCAGTACAACCCAATCTCAACTAAACCATGACGACACAAGGTTAAACCACTGCGACTTTGACAGCAGGTCACTGTAAGCTTCTTTAAATAGTCGTCTTTAATTAAATAAGATATTTGTTTGGACTAAACAATATCCTAATCTACTTTCAGCACTTTTTACAATAGACAACAGCTTCGCAACATATCACAATGTTAATGTTCATATTAAGAAATCTCTTTCCCGAACTCTCGCATTTAATCTGCCCAGTTGGTGGAATGAACTCCCTAACTGCATCAGAACTGCAGAGTCACTTGCTGTCTTCAAGAAACGACTAAAAACTCAACTATTTAGTCTCCACTTCCCTTCCTAATCTGCAATTGCATCTCTGGTTCTACTGCTATCTGTATTATAAAAAAAAAAAATTCTTAATGTTCTGCTTCTTACACTTTACATACCTGAAACTTGCCTACAGCACTTATTCATTGTTTGTCTTATAGTTGTGTAAATTGTTTCCTTGTCCTCATTTGTACGTCTCTTTGGATAAAAGCGTCTGCTGAATGACTAAATGTAAATGTAAATGTCATCCCTTGGGTCTCATCCATGAAATATGAGCAGAACAAATGTTTGAGTAAATTGTTCAATAAGTTTTATTTAAGGTAAGTTTCATTTAAAGGTGAGCTAACTTCTAGTTTCAGTATGTGAAAAAGACCATTTACAAAGTGAAACAAGACAAATTGTATGTTTTTCTGTATTTATTTTGTAATTCTGCTGGGTGATTGATTAGGGAAAGGTTAAAAATGTGTACCGTTGGTGTGCCTTCAGGAACAGGGTTGGGAAACACTGGTTTAAAGTACAAAAATCACAATCCCACATTGCATATATTTCCCAGAGGCATGCAGGATTCATCGATTTTGTATGGATGACTTTTATAAGTTGTTATGAATAATACATTTGTTATTTAAGCTATTTATTTGCTAACTGGTGACGTTCTGCCTTTAAAAACCAAAACAGACCAATCAAAGCAATGACCAGCTATGACTATCACTGGAGAAATTATTCAACTGTGCAACTCAAATACGTTCAGTTTCCCCTTTAAGCTCTTCCCTTTAGCTCTGCCTTACAAAACACACACTTCCTCTGATTCCCAGTCATCCCCGTCGGCGTGCAGCTCTAATTGGAGGACTTTGCCTGCAGAAATACGCATCAGACTTACTACAGAAGCGTGCAATTAGTGTGGACATGTGCATTTGTTTGGCTCTCCGCAAGCACTCGGATAGTGCGCTATGCAGCAAATAAAACTAATCCACAGAGATAACGTAAATAAAGGGCCTGATGCTGAGAAGCTAAGACAGCTCTTCTTCTCTCCTCCTGTGCTGGGCTGTTTTCTGTGGGCGGCTATGGTGGAGATACTGTTCATAAGAAGGTGATGAGCAAGACAGATAGCGAGGGAGCTAAAGATGCTGCATCATTTGAAAAGGAAGTTCAGGCCACATCCACAAAGCACTCACCTCATTGTACAGGAAAATAATGAGAAGGTTTGTAAGCAGAATAGAAAATTACACACTTGATACTCTTAATAAATCCCATTCAAAGGGAGCACTTTGTCAAAATATGGTTTGCCTGACCAAGAAAAAAAGATATTCATAAAGCAAGAAATTAAAAGATTTGAAAAATAGTAATGATTATTTTGTTTAAAGATATTAAAAAGGACGTAAGAGGGAATATTATCGACAAAATCCAAAAACAAGCAATTACTAAAGATGAATCTAAACTCATGTTTACCAGGTGGATACATTTCCACAATAGAAAGCAGCGTGGTTAAGACTAAAGTGAGGGTAATTTAAAGATTCAAACACCTCTATTTAAATCACGGGTGTCAAACTCAGGTTAAACGCAGTGTGTGACAATTCCCATCGATATATGTTGAAAATTACCTAGCAAATCAGATCTCCCCCTTTAAAACTAAATCAAAACAAAACAATCCGCCTACTAAAGCAAACCAAAGTCCAAGAATCAGGGAAAAAATCCTGACTGCTATATTTAAGACGTCTCCGCAGGAAGCCATCACCCACCTCTCCTGAGAACTAACCTAAAAAACCCTCCAGCTCTCTCAAGTCTTATTTAGTAAACTCCTCACAACAAGGTCAAGATTCTCCTCTATCTCTCTCTCTAGCCGACATGGCTCACTCTCAGCGGGACGGGACCCTGTAAGGAGGACCCTGCTGGTCCCAATAAGATGAACCGTGTCTGCAACGCTCTTTTCTTTCGACAGGCCCGTCAGCGTGAAGGCGTCCACAGGAGAGCAGGGACAGCAAGTAAAGTCAACCCGCAGACCACAGCCTGTCACCGTAACATGTCTGAACAGCCTGTCCGCACAAGCTGATACAACATGGTTAGACGTGTGACAATGAGGATGAGTTTGTAGCACACACGCACACACATAACATCCACATGCCTACTAGAGCAGCAAATCGGCCGCCACACTTGTCAACTGAACACCTGAGCAAAAACAAAAGGCACAATTGCATAATAAAACACACGCCCCTCCGTATCATAGGACTGACATTTATTAACCGCTTATGGAGTTTTTTAAAAGCCGGTGCTGTTATCTAGCAAGTGAGTAGTTATAAAACCTACAAAACTCAGTGACAACAAATGTAATGCTCACAAAATTAAGCACGGATTCATTCATTTTCTTTTGGCTTTGTCCCTTTATTCATCAGGGCTCGCCACAGCAGATTGAACTGCCAACCTATGCAGCAAATGTTTTACACAGCGGAT